ATAATTAAAAGATTTTATGCAAAAGAATGCCTGACCACTTTAACATTTTAATAAATATACACATAACATATATACACATACATGTATGTGTATACACACAGATATAGAAAAAATATATATAACATATATACACACACACACATATGTATGTTCTGGCAATTATCCTGAGGAATGGGTAAGAGACACAGGAAGCAGGCAGATGAACTGAAAGCAGATGTGTGCTGAAGCCCACTCATTTCCCAGCTAGAAATTAGAAAGAACTGATTGTTAAATATTCTGTATTTTTTCTAGCTGGTTGTTTAACATTTGACATAAAATCAACAGAAGTGGTGATAGTTACACCATTGCAATTGGCAAATGCTACAAATCAGGGCTCTTCCATGGTTACTGATATAGTTTAATATCTACCATTTTTCTAACTGTATTCCATTCGTTGTATGTGTTCTTTTTTTCTTTGCCTCCTCTTTTTCTGCCTTTTATAGTTTTAACTGGTGATTTTATGATTTTTCTTTCCTCTCTTAGCATATGAACTGTACTTCTTATTAGATTGTTTAGTAGTTGCCTGAATGTTTCCAAAATATATTCTAAATCTACCTTCAAATAAGACTGTATTGCTTCACAAATAATACCTTATAACCAAGAATTCCCAATTCTTTCATCTCTTTCCGTATGACATTTGTATCACTCCTATCATTTACCTATACACTTTAATTATTGAACACATTGTTCTTACTATTACTTTAATGAAACAGTTATCATTTAAATCAATTAATAATATGAAAAATTTTTGAAATTTATCTTATCTTCATATATGCCTTCTCTGATGCTCTTCTTTTCTCCACGTAGATCTAAATTTCTATTCTACATCATTTTTCTTTTCCCAAAAGATTTTTAACAGGTCTTGCAAGGCTTGCCTGATGACAACAAATTCATAGTTTTCGCATGTCTGAAACATCTTTATTTCTCCTTCACTTTTCAATGGCAATTCTTCTATATATAGAATTCTGGGTCGGTATGTCTTTTCTTTCAATCTTTTAAATATTTCACTTCACCCTTTTCATCTTCTTCCTGTTTGCAATGTTTCCAACAGGAAGTCCACAGTAATTCTTGAAATCATTTCTATATAATAAAATGTTTTAATTTTCTCTGACTTCTAACAAGATTTCCCTTTTTCTTTTTTGCCTGCACTTTGAATATGATATACCCAGATGTGATCCTTTTATCTTTATCATGCTTGATGTTATCTGAGCTTCCTGCACCTGAGGATTTCAGTCTCTTATGAATTTTAAAACTTATCTGGTCTACTAAAAAAAAAAAATTTAGTCTATCCTAGCACTCTGGGAGGCTGAGGCGGGCGGATTGCTCGAGGTCAAGAGTTCGAAACCAGCCTGAGCAAGAGCGAGACCCCGTCTCTACTATAAATAGAAAGAAATTAATTGGCCAACTAATATGTATATAAAAAAATTAGCCGGGCATAGTGGCGCATGCCTGTAGTCCCAGCTACTCGGGAGGCTGAGGCAGAAGGATCACTGCAGCCCAGGAGTTTGAGGTTGCTGTGAGCTAGGCTGACGCCACGGCACTCACTCTAGCCTGGACAACAAAGCGAGACTCTGTCTCAAAAAAAAAAAAAAAAAAAAACATCTGAATATGTCTATATCTATTAAAGAAAATCAATTCATAACCAAAAATCTTTCCATCATGAAAGTTTTTGGAATAGATACTTGATGAATTCTATCAAATATCTGAAGAGAAAATATTAACAATCCTAAACATACTCTTTTAGAAATGCAGGTTTACTGTCATGCAAAAATTAAATAAAGATATTACACAAAAAGGAAAAAAGGACAATCCGCTAACAAAAATAAATGTGAAAAATTTTTTTAAATATTTTAAAAACAAGCCTATCAATATGTAAATAAATGCTAATGCATCATGAAAAAATATGTTTTATCTCAGGGATGTAAGATTGATTTAACATTTAAAATGCAATCACCCTTTCCTGTTTCTCGAGAAGGAAACACCTATTTCCTTGTGCAAGTAGCTAATGACTCTATATATCTATAAATCAATTTTGCTAACTGAAGCTCTCATACTAATTAGGTTTCTTTCTTACCCTTAGGGATAATCAGTTGGTGAAAGTCTTTAACACTCTTCATTTACATTTTCGTCTCAGAGACCACAAACCTTCTCAAAAGCCTTTATCCATGGGCTACAATGGACCTTAAAAGCTCTAACTATGGTTTATTGATGTGATTGCTCTTCTGCTACTCTTGCTTTTCTCCTTACAATCTTTCTGCTGTCTCTTAGACTGATGGCTGGGCACTGGGTGACAAACGTTTTCTATGAAGAGCCATGTAGTAAAATCCTTAGGCTCTGCAGCCCAGATGAATCCTCCTGTAGCTTGTCAACTCCACAGATACACCATGGCACAGACATTGACAATGCATAAGTGAGTAAATACAGCTGTATTTCAATAAAACTTTATTTACAGAAGCAGATGGTGGCCATGTTAGCATTGTCCCATAGACAATAATTTGCCAATATCTTGTACAGGACATCACCATGGTGGGAAATTTTCCCGGAGACCTTGAATGACACTGGGAGTTAGTACTTGAGATGTTTAAAAGTCATGCAGGTGTATCCAGACATGTTCCCTCGTGTCAAGTGTTCTTGTGTGTTCTATCAGTGAGCTTTCTGTGTGACGGCACAAATGAATAATTGGCCACCGTCTCAGAGACAGGAAAAATGCCCAATTTTTTAAGCATTTCTTTGCTTCATCTATTAAAATTGCATCTGCACAATCCACCTATGGATTATGGAGCATTTTTCTGAATTCTCTTTACTGGTGATAGCAATTTGTGTGCTGTATGCTGAAGTCCTAATTGAGGAAGTTGCCACACATGAAAGGATTGCAAGTAAAGAGGCAGAAAAATGTCCTGAAACACAGTCATTCCTGCCATGTGTCCCTGCCCTCTGACCTCTGTATTGGGTCCTAATATCTAATATCCCTACTCTAACATCCCTACCAAGTACCTTAAGACCACCTCTGTACATTCTTATTAACAGCAACCTAACGCCTGTAAAAGGAAACTATGAATATCCAAAAATGCTCGTGGCCATCACTCCACAAATCCTCCCTGCTTCTTCTTGACTTATTCCTACTTTGGAAAAGATATTCATAAGGTTTCACATGCAGACTTCAACTCTTCTGCCATGACCCTACTTTGGAATGAGACAGTCAGCGTTATTCTCCTCTGGATGTGGCCTCACATCATTTGTCTGTGTTATCTGGGAAGGAAACCAAAATATTTCTTCCCAAAACATAGGGCATTTTTAAGTTAAAGACACTGAAAATGCAGAGGGACACTCTGCCTCAGCCCCTGCTTTCCTGGTGGCAGGACATAAAGCCCCCCTTACTAGGGACAGCACTTGCCCATCGGCCCAGAGAAGGCAGCACCAGGCACCTGAGGACTCTAGAAACCGACTTTACTATTTTCTCACATTTTCCCACCTTTTAAAAGACTGATATAGCTCTGTCCTTTGTCTTCTCACTACGTAGCTTCCTGGCTCTTTGTTGAATACTATTTGAACACAGCACCCAAGAGGCTGCCTGGAGAGAGAAATATTAATACTTTTGAACTGAGGCCTCTCCCATGTGATGAGTACAGCAGGCACTAATATATGTTTGCATGCTTTTCTTTTGTCATTTGGACTTGTTTCTAAAAGAGTGTCTCAACTAAGAAGCCACAAAGGGGGAGGGGAGTAGAAATTCTGTTTTCTCACCCACAGATGAGAGCTCTGCAGGGTCTCTGGGCTCCTTTTAACAGTCATGGCCATATCCTGTTTCCGCATCAGATAGTGGTTTAGCACAACACCATCTGCTGGCTGGTGCCCTTTAATTGACATCTGGGAGTCACAGTGCCCTGAAGGGCGCCCATAATCCTTACAAGAGCAAAAAACACTGCTAATCGAAGTGTTTAGCAGGCTCTTTACCCTGCCAGAAATTCAATACACTTCCAGGAATGTCCAAGCTTCAATGTTTTCATGATACGAGCTTACTATCCACTTGTTTTTATCCATTAGTAATGCAGACAGTAAGAGCAATCAGGAATTTAATCATTGAGTTAAAGTAGCCTGGTCATGGGCAAGGGGACAGCTAGTGTCAAACTCCCTTAAATATAACGGGGGAAAGATTTACATGTTCATCATGATTTTCTGATCTGGCAAGTCCCAGGTTTGTCAACTAATAACTGGGTGAATGTTTCAGGTAGTATTTAAATCGATAGTGATTTCATAGCACACATTCCCCCATCCAGGAGGTGCAGTCATGACACGGAAAATGTCAGGGGCCAGGAGGAGGCCGCTTGCCTCCTCCCCATGGCTCCTCATCTCTGCAGGCTGGCGCTGTGCGTGGCCAGTTGAAGGGCACGCTGCTGGGGAGGGGCCCCAGCGCTAGAAACGCCCCAGGCCCTGGGGCGCATGCGCCGCCTGAGCCCTGTGCCCTGACGTCAGCTGTCCAGGCCGCAATTGATGCTCGGCAGCCTCCTGTCATGCGGCTGCGGCTGCTCACATGATTCTGATTGGGTAATTTTTGAATCCCACTGTTGCTGATTGGATGTTAAAGCTTGTAGTTGATTGGATGTTTCTTGAGCCCTACCAAGGGTATAAAAGCAGGAGGAGAACAAGGAAAGGGGGGCAGAAGATCGGAAGACATGAAGAGAGCTGCATAAGACTTGCTGGGTTGAGCCTGCCAGAAGAATAAGGACTGTGACTGTTCTCCCACCGCTGGGTTCTTTCCCCAGTCAAGAGCTGTAACACTAGCTGTACACGTTGCCTTAACAGTTGCCTTAACAGTCGAGTACCGGTAGCAATAGATGCTTCAACTGAGATCTCCTCCTGCCTCCCCATTCAGTATAAAGGAAAAGAGGGAGAGCTGGCTGGGTGCCTCATTTTGCTTCTCTTACCTTTGAGGCTCATTCAAGGGAATAAAGGTCTCTAATGACCCACATGTGAGACTGCTCCATAAGAAAGTTCTAATGCCGGAAATTCTTTCAGCTATTGGCATTTGTAAAGAAAAAAAAATTTTGTGTGTGTGCAAATTTATGAATTATAAGTGTAATTGTTTTCACATGGATATGTTGCACAGTGATGAATTCAGAGCTTTTACTGTGCCTATCACCCAAATAATATATATTGTACCCATTAAGTAATTTCTAATCAGCACTGCACTCTTTGCCCTCTCTCTTTTTATTTTGGTAAAGATAATTACAGGAAGGAAGCTGGTAATTTTCCCTGACGAAGAAAATCAGAATCGAAAGCTAAAAACATTGATGGGTGGAGTCTCAACATTGTTTCACAACTCCTTTCTGCCTGGAGCCATTGTAAAGTATGAAACAGCCAGCGTTAGTCAAGTTATCAAGTGACTCTAACCAGGGCATTTTTTTTCCTTGTTGTCTTTAGAAATACTTTGTTTTCTTAGCATTTCAGGAGATTACAACATCCTGCAGCTCAGTTTCTGAGAGCTTTTTTTACTGATTTCTCTCTCTACTGAAAACAAGCATTGATTCCTGCATTTCTGAAAACCTCAAGATCTAGACTACTGTTGAAGAAATTTGCAGTGAGGTGAGTCCTATAGGTATTACTTGCAGAGGAGATCTGGATTCTTCCTTGAAATCCACTAGATCACAGGGAAGAAATCAGTATTGGTTCTTCCAGCTGTGGGGGAAGGGGAGTAGGGCTGATGTCAGCTGCACTCAGGAAACTGAAAACTGCAGTTGCTTGATTCTAATCCTTCACTTACTTAGAAGGGCCTGAGAAAGTGGAAATGCATTTTGACCATTGCAGATTTTAAAATTAATTTTCTGAGTGTCTATTAATATAAGTTGTAATTTGAAAAAAGGCTTTGCTTGTCCTGGCTGGAGGGTGCGCGGGAACTCTGTGGCTGTGATGGGGCCTGGGTAAAAGACAGGAGAGTGGTGTGAAAGAGTCGTGAAATAATATTAAGTAAAAATCACATCTGGACATAAAGCTGTATCTTATGGTATTATTCCAATTTTACAAAACATGAAAACCAATAAACACTCGGAGTAGAAATTTCTCAGTGTCACAAGCACAGATCCAATGAGTAGTATGTTAATATTTTCATAAGTATGTTTAACTTACTTTGGCTCCATTCTACCTGTGAACTAAAATAAAATTTTAAGGCTCACCCCCACCGGCTGACTAAATGGACCCCCTCATGGCCAAAAGAATATCCTAAAACTAAATTGTCTGCCAACAGGAAGGAGGTCAAATATGCCTCATCATGCCCCCCTCCCTTCTTAGAGACATCCTTTATAACCCATTAACAGGCCTAAGAGCATGGAAGACAATCCTGTAGGTCCTCAATTTACACAACAAATCTATGTCTGGGGGGCTTATCTCTGATAACGGCTCCTTATGTTAAAACATTTCCTTACCTTTAAACAAAGCTTCATGTGTTTAACCAACATGAAGGTTGGTTAGAAATGTCCCACCTTTTTGGGCCAAGCCAATGTATGCTTGCCATGTATTGATTTATGACTTTACCTGTAACCCCTAACTCCCTGAAATGTATAAAACTAAACTATAACTCAGCCACAGCAAGTCCCCTTGCTTAAGGCTTCTTGGGAGTGGCTCCAGGTCATGGTCCTCAAATTTGGCTCAAAATAAACTTCTTTCAAATATTTCAAAATTTAGATTTTTCTGTCCATAATTTTGGTGTAGTCAGCAGGATCTCAGAGAAGACTTAGGACTCCTGAAGGAGTTGCCCAAACCTGGAGCTAAGATACCAGCACGGGCCCATTGACCACCCCCACCCCACCCCCACCTTCAAGCTGCTCTTTTGGCGGGAACTGGTGAGTCCTCTTGAGCTCAGGGCCTCCCATTTTTGTTAATGGTCTTGGTTTACTCTGAGCTTGTTCTTTTCCTAAAAATTGTTTGAGATCCTAACTTAGGTTTAGAGATGCATTCTAAAGGGTCTTCTCAGTTGTCTTTTTATGCTAAAATTAATCTCAATGAGCTTTTCTATAAAAAAATAAAATAAAAAATCCTTTAAAAACAAAGAAAGACAAAGAAAATGACTGACCCCTATTAGGCACCCCAGTTGGTTTGCGGTGCCTCTACTTGCAACTATTTTTGTAAATCAAAAGATTCAAAGGCATGCCAGGTTTTCTAGGGCTCCAATTGGTTATAACTAATTCTTGTGCACAAGTTTTTACAAAAGGGCAAATTACATCAAAAAAAATTTCAGAGCTAAAATGGTCGACCTACCACTATTAAAATGCTACAAGCTATTTCTCTCTCTTCTTTTCTGGCTACTCTAAAACCTGCTAGCTTTTTCTATTGATGTTAAGATAACTCATTGTTTACGATATTTACAATTGAAAGGCTACCTAGAGATCCTGCAGCCAGTCTAGCTAAAATGCAAACATTAAAAACTCATTTTAAACTAACAAAAAGGGGGGGGGGGTAAAGATTTTTTAAAAAATCAAACTGCCATAAAAACTGCCTTTCCCAACACTTTGATCCACAGGCCTGATTAGGTTACCTATCAGGGCAACTAAAATTTGCCATGTAAACAAGTTCCAGCCTCATCAAAAAAAATTTGGATCTAGATGTCTTTTAACGACTGGTGAGTTTGTGTAGCTAGAATTCTAAGATAAAATCTATTAAAATCTATTCTAAAATCTATTAAAACACATATTAAAACATATATATAAGTGTATAAGTTTAGGTATGTTTTATATATGCCCATGTATTACATGTTTGTGCTTATATAGTTCCAGACTGTCTTAAAATTAAATGAGCGCTCATAAATTAAACCCAAATGCTTCCCAAAAATTTAATAATGTTTAATACATAAGCTACATTATTACTAAAAAAATGAAAAGATATTATTAGTAAAATAATAATAAAAATGCTTTCAAATTGTCAGCATACATCTGTTTTTGCCTGGGTTTTACTAAACATTTTTATGTTCTTGTGATGTCAACATTTAATATAAAGGTTATAAAAATATAACTCAGCTAAAGACAAAATAATATATGATTTTTGATAAATAAAATAAATTTAATATTTAGTCTAATGATAATCACTAAATCTGAGTTACCAACAAAAATACCTATGTGTTTAACTTTAAGATAAAAATGCAAATGTGCCTAACTGTCAGCAAATTAAAATAAATAAAACACCAAATAGAGCAAAAATCAAACTTAATAGTCAAAGGTTTATAAAAACATTTTGGTTTTGTTCTTTTAATCCTACCTATAGATATAGTTTACTTCCACCAATTCAATGCCTGTGAAGAGATACACAAAAGATGTTTCTAACTCACTATCATCTAATATTAACAATACTGTTAGAAATTCAAAATTGTCCTAAAATTTGTAGTTAAAATAACTTAAATTAAAAGCTTTAATTTTCCCTTGGTCTTGTCCATTTTTGTCCTATTCTTTACAAGCTAGCCAGCTATATATACATTATATTCTATAACAAAGTTTTGCCTAAAAAATTTTCTAAATTATTAATTTTTGTATAATAATTTATTTTAAAATACAAAATAAATGATAGTTAAAATCCACAAAAATCTCAAAACAGTCTTACTCTTTATAAATATTGCATATACTAAAGTTTACACCCCCAAAAAATTCAAAAATTGTTTCAAGACTATTTAAATTGTTTTTTTAAAACAGCTTAATCTTGATCCCCATATAAAAAACATGTTACCACTGTGTATCATTATGTGAGGTGCTAACAATTTGGTGCTAAAAGTTTTTTTTTTCCTCAGTCTATAGTCAGGTGATCTTATGTTAATAAGATTCAAAAAACTAACTTAAAATAAAGCCTCCAAAAACAAAATTTTCTGACCTTGCCTGACTCTTATACCAATTCTTCCCTAAAGCTAACCATAAAACCTAAAATTATTCTGTATAAAATGGCCATAAAATAATTATCTGACCTACTGTATTTTTACTTTGTTTTACTACAAAACCCCATAACAAAAAGGGCCTTGCCCTACCACCCCCCACTACAAAAAAAATTCACACTCAAGAGGCCAATCGAAATCTAAATATAAAAAGCCTTGCTAGTTTTGCCACTAAGCTTGTTAAAATTAGCTCATACCCTTTTTGTTCAATCGTATTTCTACACAGCTGTCCATACTTCTTTAAATGTTCATTCTAAAGGTGTCCATATATAAGTTTTAATTCTTTCTCATATTAATCCTATTAATCTTTTTTTCGCATTTTTTCTATTTCAGCATATTATGAAGGTACAAATGTTAAGTATATTGCTGATGCAGCCCCTCCTTCCTCGAGTCAGACCAATCCTATTAATCTTAATGTCAATAAATTTTCAGCAAGCCTTTATAAAAGCAGTGGCCTTTACTCCCAAACTTTAGGGGGTAAGGACACTTTAAGCCCTATGTTGTCAATAGATTTTATTTAAAGATATAATGTTTTAAAAAGATCTAATTAACTAATACCTTTAAACAAAATATTCTAAAATAACTACTATGTTTATAAAATTTAAAAGCGATATTATATTTGCTTAAAATAAGTCTTATTAAAATATTTATTTTTTCTTGATAAAATTTATATGTTTATAATTTAATCCCTGTTCTGTTACATATAATTTACAAAATATAAAAGTAATTAACAAAAAATAACTTAAACTAATAGCTAAAATCTAAATAAATTGCTAAAATAAATAAACAAATATAAAAATAAATACAAATAGTTTTCATATAATTTAAAATGTTAAAGTCATTATACTAAGTTAAAAAAAGATAATTATAAAATATCTAAGTCATTTATAAAATACTGAAACATTAATACTTAAACATAAATTTAAGCTTATACCTTAATATCTTATCTTTATATTTAAAAATACTAATAAGATTAATAACTAATAATTCAAAATTACTTTAACTTCCTAGGTTTTACTAAGTGTGACATTATGATTAACATATATAATTAAAACTTCTAGATAAAAAAGCAATTCTATACAAAAAATTTTTTTTTTTTTTTTGAGACAGAGTCTCGCTTTGTTGTCCAGGCTAGAGTGAGTGCCGTGGCGTCAGCCTAGCTCACAGCAACCTCAATCTCCTGGGCTCGAGCGATCCTTCTGCCTCAGCCTCCTGAGTAGCTGGGACTACAGGCATGCGCCACCATGCCCGGCTAATTTTTTTTTATATATATATCAGTTGGCCAATTAATTTCTTTCTATTTATAGTAGAGACAGGGTCTCGCTCTTGCTCAGGCTGGTTTTGAACTCCTGACCTTGAGCAATCCGCCCGCCTCGGTATACAAAAATTTTTAATAAAAATGTTATAAAGCATGAATATTAATTTTGTTAAAAATAATTTTGTTTAATTTATTAGTTTTTAAAACTACTTATTCAATATATAAATAATCATTAAAAATTAAATAAATATAAAAATTAAAAGTTATAAAAGTTTCATAAAAGTCTTAACTTATAATCAAATTGGTTAAAATTAAATAAATTTATTTATAAAATTTTATTAAAATTAACTATCATTAATACACTAATACAATAAAATTTGGTTTTATCTTTTAAACTAAATTGTCATAATATTAATAAAAATAACAAAAAATTTTATTCACCTTTTGATAAACTGCAAAAGAAACAGATTCAAATTTTGACTAAAACAAACATTTCTATCAATATTAATTTACTCTTAATAAAATAATATAATATACTCATTTTGATCCTATAACATGTTTCCTTTTTAATTTAAATTATCACTACAAAGGGTTTTTCTTTAATTTTGATAACTGACCTAAAAAAATAAATTTTATACTTTATCAAATAATCCCTATACTCTCTTTATGAAGTTTTGACTAACTAAGAAACTAAACTTTAAAAGGGTTAAAGTCACCCATATAACTTTATCACCTTTAAATCTTTTAATAACTATCTCTCTTGGTTAAATGAATAACCCTTATTTTATAATGGCTTATAATTATATATAAACAAATCATTATAGAGACAACTGCCTCTGTGAAAAGAACAAATTAGATAAATCAAGCCTAAAAAAAATATTAAACAGCTAATGAAATAATTCCAGCCAATATATGCTGTGTCCCTATAAGAGGGAGCATGAAGATGTTTGGCAAATTGGTGGTATTAAGTATGTGGAGGGCACAGAAGACAGTCCCAGAGCAAGGCAGACGGGATGCTAACTGTGAAAGAGACAAGGGGACTCAGATTGAGAACCCAGCTTGGAACTCAGAAGCATATTCTTAAAAAGTAGGAGGCTGCAGACAATTTAAACAGAAAAAAAATAAAAAAATAAATAAACAGAAACCAGTTTAGTCACAGTGGGAAGAGTCAATAACCAACAGGCAGACATTGGGTGGTGGGCTCCAGCTCCAACAGAGGGTGGGATAAGGAACCAGAAACTCTGGCACTGCACAGCCCATGCCCCAAACACTAGCATTTCCATGTTTCAAGTCCTCCTTCCACGACACGCACCTCCACTCAACTCAACCACCCTCACCTATTAAACAGGATGAATTTCATACACATCCCTAATGTGGCAGCTCACGACCCAATGTCCACAGTGACGTATCTGGTCATCAAGTCCCTTTTTGCCACACACATCCATGGAAAACAGTTTCATATGGGCTCCTCACTCAGGTAGGCATAAGCAGTCATTTAAATTGTCTGTATACATGTGTGCCATTATATGCCATTTTTCTCTTGTATGCTCACCTATGTCTTTAGAGATGGGAAATCAACGCGGGAAGATTATTCTACTTAAAGTATTAGACGAACTCGACGTTGATCAGTTTAAAATGATTAAGTTCTTACTGTCCGACATCATCAAGCTGAGTGATAAAATGCAAGAAGAATATGACAAAGTAAAGATTGCTAACTTGATGGTAAAAAGGTTCCCCCGTGACGCCGGTGTGGACAAACTTATACAACTCTGCAAAGATATACCAGCATTCCAAGGACTTGTTGAAACTCTTAAAGAGTCGAAAGGTAACAGGGGACAGGGAACACTACTACCTCCCTGTCACTCTTCCCAACCCTCCTCAACCTTGACTAGGACCTCATCTTGGACACAATGGATACATCCCTGTCACAATTTGTGACTGTGGCCTTGGCAGTGTTGGGACTTCACACGCCAACAAGTTAACAACTTAGAGCATTCCAATTCTAATGCAGATTGTGGTATTTTGGAGGGTGTATTTGGGATGCAGGGAAAAAAACAAAAGTGAGAGAGAGTTGGTGAGAGACTGAGATTTCTAATACATTAGAAAGACCAGGTAATCACCAAATAAAATTTCAAAATTTGCAGTGTATATTAGAAATATGTATGTTTAACCAAAAATGTATCTGTCTCATTGAGACTGTTTAACCCATCATCACCCCTTATAATAAAAAAGAGGTAGTACTTAAATACAACTCTACCTCTAAGAAGTGTGAAAAACTTATCTGTTGTAAAGTCACTGACTTTTAAAAAAAATGATATATAGATATATATAAATGTTTTAAAAAGTCAAAGTCCAAAATCACCATATCTCCCCTCACAACCCTGTACCACATTTCCATTCACTGGTTTCTGTAATTTGAATAGAATATCTGCAGAACACGAGCAAGATGTCAGCATCATAAGCACATTCAGTTTTTAAAAGGAAATGATAGGAGGACAGGATGGGGAAAGGTCTTGACTCATCACATAGAGTTCAGAGGACAGGAAGGATGTGCTCAGTGCACAGGGCATGCGTGGGGGTGAGTACAGGAGCATGAGATAGAGGCCAGGATGGGCTAATGCAGTGGAGCACACCTGAGCTTCCAGCAGGAGCCAGGAGGGATTAGTAGAGAAACTGCTTCAGCTCTCTGAGACCATCAGCTCTGGGTTGACATGTCCTTTTTTTTTTTTTTTCTGCAATAGTTGCAAAAAAAGTTAAGTCCACACCAGAAAAAGGAACAACCCCCTCAAAAAAGAGCAAGCAAAAAGAAGAGGGTCCTTCTACACTTGCGCCCTTCACAGGCACATGTGGAGCAGAGGTGACCCCTGGACCTCAGGTAAGATTGAGGAAGAGGAACAGGTGTCACGTCCCACAGAGGAAGCTCTGCTAAGCTCTTGAACTCAAGCTCTCCATCAGACTATGATGATGGCTTCATGAGTTTCCCATCAACTTTAAGATTCAGCAAAATGCCTAATAATTGATGATCTTCTTTGGGCAAGATAGCATGCCAAAAACTTTAGTAAACATAATGTAAATATATACATATTTATATATATTTCCTAAATGTATCTTCATTTCCAGTAGGCGAGTGTTAACTTGAGAATCAGATAGGAAAATACTTTACCCAAGTTTGTAAAACCCTAGTTTTTCTACTTCTAAGTCGGCACATTCATGAACAGAGGCCATTAGAGAAATAAAATGATTTGTATGTCTTTCTCTGCTTCCTTTGTTTAAAGAAACCATAAATGTCCACCTCTTACAACTGGCCAGGCATGGACAGAGCCCACTCAAGTTTCCATGAAACACATTGATAGGTATAATCAGCCAACTTCCCAGGAATGAAAATGTGCTCTACTTCATTTGACACCGAAACTGAATAACAGGAAAATCAAACTACTTTCAGAAAAGAAAAAGCACAGCCAAAGGAAAGGATGGGACCAAAAGGAGTAAGGTGTCGAAGGAGCAACCTCAGTCTCCGTGTCCTGTAGGAGCCAGTGTGTCCACAGCCATGGGACCTCCCCAGACCTCATCAGCTCCATCCAACACTTTCCCACCTAAGGTATGTGCTTCCTGGTCCCCTTTACTTCAATTTCTCCTACTAAAAGCACAGAAATCTGATTTCAGCTTCTACTTTAAAATAGCATCAATAATTAACAAGTTAATCAAAGGTATATATTGAGAATTCACAACATTTTAAGCTTTTGCTTCCAAAGAGATATTGATGAACCTGACATTATGTCTCAGTGCAGAAAGTTTTCTAGGCTGAGTTGTCCCCTATGGTGTAGGGTCCATAAGAGTACAGGGGGATACAGCAGTTGGGTCACTGTCCACTGCTCTGATCTCTTTCATAGCTCTTCCATTGCTCACTAATTTGTTCAAGTTTTTTTGACCAACACCATGCTCCTTTCTACTTCAGGATTTTCACATGCCATATTACTTTCACCTGGCCAACCCTATTCACCCTCTAGATCCCAAACACTGATCTCGTGTCCTCAGGAAATGCTCACTTAGACCACAGTGACCTTGCTGAAACCTTGATGGTGTTCTCTGTGGTAGAAACTGCCTTTTTTCTTTTCTACTTTTTATAACAACTAAAATGAAGAAATGTTTATATTTCCTGCTTACTCTGAGTTTCAAGGGCTACTTTGTGAGTCTGTGGACTAGTGTATCTCAAGAGCCTAGGTCAGTGCCTGCCTCGTAGGAAGATCTCAGTAAATATATTGTTCAATAAAAAAGTGAAAACTAAGTCCTAAGACATGAATCAGAACAGATAAGGAGAGAGTAAATAAGGATCATCTGACCAAAAGAGACGTGGTATCTATTGTGAGTCCCAAGGGTGGTAAAAACAAAAAGAAGTGATGGAACAGACAAGCAGAATTGACGAGTTTAGGGAAATCTAGGCTGAAAGAACACCAAATAACAAGATGTACAAATGAAAGGAAGTGAACTACAATTTACAATTCCACGTTTCTGATAATACTTCTGAAGTTGTCCCCTTCTCACATTTGGACAGGCCAGCCTTTCCTGCATGCATACATCAGGGACAGTCTAATAACTAATTGAAGCTCCAATGAGCTTTATTCTAAAAATGAGCGACTAATGCTTTTATGACACACAATCAAATGGATAATAGGCCACAAATGATGAACCAAAATCATCAGCCACAATTGAAACCGAGTCTATTTCTTTTTCTCACAGTAGATTTTTATTTTAACACAAGATTATTTCAGAAAAGAATTGCAAAATGCAGACAGCCAGATTCAAACAGAAAATATTTAAATTTAAATTACCAGAAATTATACCGTCCATATTATGCTACATTTTTTTCTATACCCTCTTAGATTTTCTCCTATGGAAGTATATATACAATTATGCTGAAGATGGTATCATACAATATGTTGTCTCATTATTTCTCTGTGAGTAGATGCACAATTGCCTTCATGTATGTCCTGTATTCAAATGACTCCTTATAAGGTTGCATATTAGTGTGGCAATTAATAGTCTCAGGTATGAGTCTGCTATTATTGATTAACTTGCATTGGGGAAAGGACTTCCCTGTGTCAGGCTGAACTGGTCACGTTCATGAGAAGTCGCATCCAATCAAGTCCTGTCATCCACAGGTGATCACTGTGTGTGGTATCCCAGGCCAGAGCACCCCACAGCCTGCTGGAGTGTGGATGAACCCCACCCGTGCCTCCCACAATTCTTCTTATTGACTAAACCACCTTCCTTCACTTAAAGTGTTCTGCTGCAAATTTAGGAGATCAGGATGTTATTGAGAAATGATATTAAACACAAATCACTCTGATCCCAGGTTTCTGATACTGAACTTCTCCTAAAGCCCAATGTTGAGAAATGCAGCAGTGGCAGAAGTGACATCTCCAGAATGTCACTACCCTGAACCTACTGACGTTGGGATATTAGGTAGTCTTCAGACCACGCATGTTCCCACCTACTGTGACAGTACTGAATGCTAGATAGAGGAACTATGACTCACACTCTCAAAATTGCCCAGTCTACACTGGTGATAACTGGACACTCTTCATGTCTTGGTTTGCAGTGGGCACCATTTTCCATTTTCAGTGCTATTTAATAATATTTGTCTGTAGTTATGCTCCTCACTCTCTAAGCTGGTAAGAGTAAGATTACAGTTTATTAATTTGCTCTTAAATTTCTTTAAAAGTACTACATGGCAATGCTCTCAGAACCCACTGCTCTTGTGTTTCTCTTATGCTTTACTTCCTAAGGATTATTCTTTCACAAAGTGTTCTCCTGCTTTTCACACGTGCAGCCTCCCCTGTGACATCCTCTGGTGATGACACCAGTTCGGGACATGCTCTGCTGCCTTGTTCAGCGACCCTCCGTCCTGGCTGCAGCTCTAAACATCTGTAAATGTTGTCAGGCTCCTGGTTATGACTGAGGTCACTGAGTAGTGGTTCTGTATTCCCCACTCAGACATTTCCCTTTGTTCTCCTGTGCTATTGTACACAGAACCCAAAACCACAGGCCAACTCTGGGGTAACCGCCAGAAGACCTGAGCTCCGAAAGGGCCCGACGGTGGTGATGGTGCTGAGTGCAGCGGACCCGTTTGCATATGAGTCCTCAGAAAAGGAGATAAAAAAAATGTTTCATGCCACAGTGGCTACAGAGAAACAGTTCTTTCATATGAAAGTTTTCAACATCAAATTGAAGAGAATATTCACCAGAAATAGAATTATCATTTTGTCAGATTATTTTGAATCTGACCATCTCCTAGAGGTGAATGAAGCCTCCTCTGTATCTGAAGCTGGTCCTGACCAAAAGATTGAGGTCCCAAACAACATCAAAAAAAGAGCAAAGGAAACCCTGCCTATTGGTATTATTAAAAGGCAAGCTTCTGGAACTATTGTATATGGATTATTTACACTACATAAGGTAAGGCCTCAAAATTCTTTTGTTTCATTTCTCCACCAGTACCTGGAATAAGAATCCTTTTGTGGTGCTAAATGCAGTTTTGCCTATTTATTGAACTTTAGAGCCCAGGATTTTCTCAAAACTAATGACGAGTGGATAAAGTCTTTTCTCAGGATAAGACTGGGAATTAGGGAACCTATTAATATTCTTCTTCCCACGTTTTCCTTCTCAGAATATTACCTTTCACTTTTTAGGGAAATGATCACTCAGAAGACTTCACATTCATCAGCTATGAGCTATCTATTATTCTAAGCTACAATGATTAAGGCTAGTGTAGGGTCTAGATCTATCTACATATTCTACTAAATTTATTTGTTTGTTTGTTTATCTGTTTATTTTTAAACAGAATCTCACTCTGTTGCCTGGGCTAGAGTGCTGTGGTATCAGCTTGGCTCTCTACAACCTCAATCTCCTGGGCTCAAGCAATCCTCCTGCCTCAGCTCCCTGAGTAACTGGGATGACAGGCATGTGCCATGACTTCCAGCTCATTTTTTTGTTTTTAGAAGAAACAGCTCTTGCTCAGGCTGGTCTCCAATTCCTGAGCTCAAGTGATTCTCCTGCCTTGGCCTCCCAGAGTGCTAGGATTATAGGCATGAGCCACTGAGCCAAGCCTAAATATATTTTTGATTATTACCTCAGGTGTAGCAATAATCACTCTATTTTCATTTTGGATGGAGTATTGCCCTTTGAGACTTGAGTTCTGTTTTTTAGAGTCAGAGCAAATAATGAATCACCTGATTATGCCTGGAAAACAAAGGCAGTCAACAAGTTACAATGATGTTCCAACCAAATGAGACTCATTCATCAAAAAGATATTGAACAACTGAGAAGTATGAATTTAGGTGATACTTAGAAATTCAGGTAACCTAAACTTGCCATTTAGATACATCAATTTAACAAAAGGCACAGAGTGGTTTACCATAAGACATTCAAACCAAAAAAAAAATCTATAACCTGATATTGATTCAAGTAACTTCTCATATGATCAACAGCTCACAACACAGTATATTTAATTGTTTTCTAGCAAAACCCCTTACTTTCCCTGTATTATTTTCTGTCTACACTCTTAAAGTGATCATTGTCATGAACTCAATTCTAGATTTGAAGAGTTATATCCATGGTGAGCAAGAAAGTGGAAAGTTTGAGTTTAAGGACCTGATCTTAGGAAGGGGGAGAAGACTCAGTAAATGGAGAAGGTAGAAAAAGTAATTAGGGAATTACTAGAACCTTCTATTTTATTACAGATCTCTCATAAGCTAGTGAATACATAGATGTAGCAGATGGCCATCCTTTTTGCATAGGGGAAGAGGTCAAAAAAGCCTCCCAAGGATTTCAGATTCCTCTGGATAAGGAAGCTGTGGGACTCATAGCTGTCCTGGAGGTAGAAAGCAGTAGAAATTTGGAAAATAACCCAGTGTTCTAGAGCTGTCAGAGAAATACCTAGAATATGATAATAAGGAAGAACTCACTGAGAAATCCTGGCCTAAGGCAGGTGTATGTTTGTACGGTACTAGCACTTGCTGTCCTGCAACCTGTTTTGACCTTATGTCATACATAAGGTATATTCTTTCATGTAGCATAGTCATTTACTGTGTTCTCAAGAATTGGATATTAATTTTCTGTTCCAGAAAACAGTAGATAAGAACAACACAATCTATAAAATTAAGGAAGATGAAGAAGAAATGGAAGTGGTGGGGAAAGGAAAATGTCACAATATTCACTGTGAAGAAGGAGATAAACTTCAACTCTTCTGCTTTCGACTGAGAAAGAAGAACGATACATCAAAACTGATTTCTGAAATACATAGTTTTATTCAGGTGAGAATTAGTTTTCCGAAGAGGAAATGATTTGCTTTCAGTTTTTCAAAATCCATACAAGTGCTTTTTAACACATGGAGTCAAGTCTGAAGCATGAGAAAATAGATGATGACTTGTACTCACATTTCAACAGAGAAACTTATTAAACTATTTCAAGAGAATGGCATTCATTATAGGCTTCAACAGAAATTGAAACGTGTGCTAAATGCTAAAATATTTGAAGAAATTAGGAGGGTGGGGGTACTAATTCATAGTGGTAAAAAGAAAAGCAAGAGATTTGGAGTAGGATAGATTTAGTCTACATCTGGCTCATTTGTTGCATTGTTGGGAAACTATGATCGAGGAATTAATGAGATGTGGCTCATAAGACCATTATTTTATTGTATAACCCAATATTACTATGTTAAAGACAGAAACAGTAGTTTGCAGGGTTTTTCCCTGAAGGAATGTGTGGGCTCAATGGTTCACTTATTAGAGGCTGCTATCATGGGAAGGCTCTCAAATGTCCAGTAGGGATGTTTTCCAGGAAGGCTTCCCAGTATCTCAAAATCTGTGAGCTTCTCTGTGTCTTGAAAGACAAGACAAGGCAAACATGGCCCACAGGATGGGAGCCAGAGATAATGCACTTTGCCCAGAGAAGCACCCTGGTGGTTATAAACAACCTATTTTATTAGAGATGGGCTTCCTGCTCTCTCCTATCTGTCTACCTTTAAGTCAACCATACCTAATCAAAGCTATATTGAGTCACTATACGCCTTTTGTTATACCTTTGTTAATTGACAACTACTACCTCTTTAGAAGCTAGCCCCTGAAAGACTTTGTACCTGTTTGTTCACCTAGATAGATTAGAAGCCCCTTGAGAGGACTTTTTTTGACCCTAACCCACTACCTGTATCCCCTAGCAACTGTATTCCCTGATATGCAGATATGTTACCCTGACAACTGGTAATTGATAACTATGATTATAAAAACCTGTATGAATCTAAACAGATTGCTGGTGGTTGTGGAGATCCGCCAGTCCCCTAGGAACTTCCTGCTGTGTTTTATCTGATCTTTATGTATACATATAAAACTATAAACTATACCTAAGTCTCTATGTATTCTTTTATTTCTCTCTATTGCCTATCAATTTCCTGATCCTCTGTGGCGACCCCTATCTTAGGGTCCGGGCACCGTGGGGAAAAGTAGCTAACCTCCTCGTTGGCCTGCCTCAACTACTCTCACCCTGCTTTGCATGATATTGAGGAAGTAGCTTACATGTTCCTCATCATATGCTTTTATAATCAATGAGATTTTGGAAGTATATTTCTTATCTCCATGCCTTGTATATTATGAGAAATCAATGTGTACTACTTACTATTGGTTCTTTGCAAGATAAAGACAGACATTTGCAGAGAAAATATCAAATACAAAAAAATAAAAATTGTGAGAGAGCATGTGAGTTCTCTACAATTCTGGTATATGTTGAAAGGTATGGGAAATTGATGGTACAGAGATAACAAGCAGCCTCTACTGAGGTGGCTTTTGTCATAAAGACAGAAGTGGAATTTCCATCATAAAAAAAAATGGGTAAGTAAATCTTGAAACATTTTATGCATAAGAATGCCTAATCATTTTACATGTTAGTAAAACATATTTTGGCAATATCCTGCAGCAATACATTAGAGACAGGCTATATTTGGAGGTAACTAACATCTATTGGAACCTAATAAAGGATGATATTCTCAAAAATGAAAAGATGCTGTGTTTCATGTAATATTGCAAACAATTAAACAAAACAATGAATCATTTCAGGTAAAGCCAAAAGCAAACCAGACAAAATTTGATTTGAAGACCATGAAACCTTTCGAGGAGCAGAGCGAGGCTCCAAAACATTCAGAGGCTCGCACAACCCTGACTCACAGCCAACCCTGGTCTCCTCAGATGCCTCCAGCAGCCCCATCCAGAACTTTCGTATGTGAGGTACAATTTTCTGAGTCCCATTCCACGTGTCTCCCAACCTTAACTACAGGAATACTCAGAATGTTTAAAGAGCTTCTCCTCTCATCCCTAGCCATGTACAATCACTTTTAGAAATTAAATAATTAATTCATTTATCAGATGCATACATTGAAATTTTTGCAGGTAGCAGTCTTTTGCTGTTTAAAAGGTGTGCATTTACAAAATGATTGCTGACCTCAAGAGGGTTACTCTGTCATGTTGGTGCAGCTGTAAAGAAAGGGTAGGGGAAGTGGTCAGGCAAGTGTAGATGAAGACTAGAGTGTATTCAGACTTTGCATTCCAGTTTCTTTCACCCCTTTCCCCTTTCCTTACAGCTAATACTTGTGAATTTATTTCCAAGCTTCCAAATTCCTTTCAGTGTTCCATATCTTTTTTTTTTTTTTTTTTTTTGAGACAGAGTCTCGCTTTGTTGTCCAGGCTAGTGTGAGTGCCGTGGCGTCAGCCTCGCTCACAGCAACCTCAAACTCCTGGGCTTGAGTGATCCTTCTGCCTCAGCCTCCCGAGTAGCTGGGACTACAGGCATGCGCCACCATGCCCGGCTAATTTTTTATATATATATCAGTTGGCCAATTAATTTCTTTCTATTTATAGTAGAGACGGGGTCTCGCTCTTGCTCAGGCTGGTTTTGAACTCCTGACCTTGAGCAATCCGCCCGCCTCGGCCTCCCAAGAGCTAGGATTACAGGCGTGAGCCACAGCGCCCGGCCTAGTGTTCCATATCTTTACATAAGCTATTTCCTTGTTGGGAATCCACTCCCTTCATCTCATCATTGGCACAAATTTCCTCAAATTTCAGGTGCCAAGTTAAAGTTTTCCTTCTGGCAAATTCTCACTGAGACAGGACTACCTGAACTGATGAGCCCACCCATGCTTTCCTTTCACAGGTCCTCTTGTCAGTAAGGTTTAACTACTGCTTTCACAAAAGGGAATCGAAAACTTATTTTAAAAGGTGTCTCTCATATCAACTTCATGTGGGGTTTCCCCTTAACAGAGTCAGCAAGTACAGGAAATAAGTTTGCACCAGAGCAAACCCCAGTACAGAACATGGAACAGCAATGACAGTATTGTATTTCTACTTTTTGAGTACTTACTAGGGAATTGTTCTAAAATATGTCTTTCTTATGTACTTTCTCTACTTCATTCTTGACAATAGCAAGCAGGATGATATTCTCTGTTCCAATTCATATAAAATAAGGATGAGGTGCATGGAGCTTAAAAATCTTCCCAAGTTCTCAAAGTTAGAGTCAGAGTCAGGAGACATATCCACCCTCATTGAATTCAAGAACTTGAAACATTAATGATTATATGTGGCTTTAGATTAGGAGTATAGATGTACCAATGTCAGTAATTTATTTATAGAAATTTCCAAATTAATAATGTCATGTTCTGCATGTGTTTTCATTGACAAGGCTCTGAAAACCTCCTAAGGAATGAAGTCCTAACGGGTGATCAAAGGGTGTTCTGATAGGAAGTAACTTTCCAGAATTAGAGTTCTGTCATCCTTCCTTCTAACAAAGAGTGCATTTTTTATATTAGGTAACTGAATGCTAGCAGTAGCAAAATGTATGGAATTAACCAAATATCATGAATGGTCGAAATGGTAAAAATTATTAAGAATTAAGGTAGTAAATTATATGATGGAAAATCCATTCCTTTACCCTGGGGAAGTAGTATAAAAAACCGCTTACTGACAATGCCCATGTAGGTTATCGACTATTTCTAAATATCACTGAGAACCCTAAAAGATGATGGCTATGCCTGCGACAAAACAGGAGAATTATGCATCTGGAATTGTGCATTTGACAGAATCCTTCTAGCATGGTGATGATCAAAACACATAAAGCAACATAGTACTGGGTTTCCTGGGACCTAAAGAGCATGTGATAGAAACCATTTTGTATACGTGCCTGATGAGAAAAAATTAACAAATACCTATTAGTGCACCTTTTTGCAAGGCTTGCTTCCTTGTACTCAGGCAGAGTTACCTACCAAAACGTAACCCAAAGAATTATATTTCACTAACTTAGCTTAAACCAGCTTTCAGCAGAGCTAGGGCGAGTAGTCCATGCCAAACCAATGACATGCCTAGCCTCCGAGCTTGGACATTTTCAGGGTGCATGGGGTAATGCTGGTTTCTCTGTATGCAGGAGAGAGGATTAAGGACTCCACTTGTATGCTATTATTCCAGAGAAAATTGACATCCTGTTAAAAAGGATGCAAAATGAAAGAAAATAATTATAATGCTTCATCTCATACTGAAAACCATTACTGGGAGATAATGATCTATTTTCCTTCAGACAAGTTAAACACAATGACCAAACTTATGATCCCAAAAGGATGAAAACTTCCCAGAGCAGAGTGAGCCACTGTAAACTGCAGCAGTCAACTCACCTTCATTTCTCATTTTTTAGGCACTTCCATAAACCTCACCTTGCAGTACTGTAAACAAGGAAACATCTTTCTCTTCCCATTCTTGAGCTTCCCAACAACATAATGACAAGTGTAATCAGATCTTGAAAGATCATTCCACTGAATCCCTACTAAATACAGTCTCTTTCTTTGATTACATTTCTCATTACTAATCACGTTTGTGCATTGAGATCCTAATAGATGCTAGGTCCTTTGCAATTCACAAGGTTTATTATGTTCATGAAATTATACCCTGACTCAAGAGAATTACTGAATTGTATTGGTGCTGTTGTGGAGAGAGATGGAGCAGAAGTAGGCAGAGGAGGAAAGATGAATACAAGATTGTGTTCATCATCTCTATTCCAGTTTCCCTTCACACCGTCACTTTTTTCCTGACCAGAATGCAGGTTTTATTCTACACAATCCATTGAAACATCTTATGCAAAAGAATGCCTACTCATTTTACATGTTAGCAAAACATATTTCGGCAATATCCTGCAGCAATACATTAGAGACAGGCTATGTTTGGAGGTAACTAACATCTATTAGAACCTAATAAAGGATGATATTCTCAAAAATGAAAAGATGCTGTGTTTCGTGTCATATTGCAAATAATTAAACAAAACAATGAATCATTTCAGGCAAAGCCAAAAGCAAACCAGAGAAAATCTGATTCAGAGACCATGAAACTTTTTAAGGAGCAGAGCGAGACTCCAAAATATTCAGAGACCGGCACAACCCCGACTCAGAGCTATCCCTGGTCTCCTCAGATGCCTCCAGCAGCCCCATCCAGCACTTTCGTATTTAAGGTACAATTTTCTGAGTCCCATTCCGCGTGTCTCCCAACCTTAACTACAGGGATCCTCAGATTGTTGAAAGAGCTTCTCCTCTCATCCCTAGCCGTGTATAATCTCTTTATGAAATTAAATCACTACTACAGTTATCGAATGCATACATTGAAATTTTTGCAGGTCGCAGTCTTTTGTTGTTTAAAAGGTGTGCATTTATGAAATGATTGCTGACCTCAAGAGAGTTACTCTGTCATGTTGGTGCAGCTGTAAAGAAAGGGGAGGGGAAGTGGTCAGGCAAGTGTAGATGAAGACTAGAGTGTATTCAGACTCTGCATTCCAGTTTCTTTCACCCCTTTCCTCTTGGCTTACAGCTAATACTTGTGAATTTATTTCCAAGCTTCCAAATTCCTTCCAGTGTTCCATATCTTCACAAAAGCTATTTCCTTATTGGGAATCCACTCCCCTCATCTCATCATTGGCACAAATTTCCTCAAATTTCAGGTGCCAAGTTAAAGTTTTCCTTCTGGCAAATTCTCACTGAGATAAGACTACCCAAACTGATGAGCCCTCCAATGCTCTCCTTTCACAGGTCTTCTTGTCAGTAAGGTTTAAGTACTGCTTTCACAAAAGGGAATCGAAAGCTGATTTTAAAAGGTGTCTCTCATATCAACTTCATGTGGGGTTTCCCCTTAACAGATTCAGCAAGTACAGGAAATAAGTTTGCACCAGAGCAAACCCCAGCATAGAGCATGGAACAGCAATGACAGTATTGTATTTCTACTTTTTGAGCACTTACTAGGGAATTGTTCTAAAATATGTCTTTCTTATGTACTTTCTCTAATTCATTCTTGACAATAGTAAGGAGGATGATATTCTCTGTTCCAATTCCTATAAAATAAGGTTGAGGTGCACAGAGTTTGAAAATCTTCCCACGTTCTCAAAGTTAGAGTCAGAGTCGGGAGTCATATCCAGCTTCATTGAATTCAAAAACTTGTAACAGTAATGATTATATGTGGCTTTTGATTATGAGTATAAATATACCTATGCCAGTAATTTATTTATAGAAATTTCCAAATTGATAATGTCATGTTCTGCATTTATTTACATTGCCCAGGCTCTGATAACCTTCTAAGGAATGAAGTTCTAAGGGGTGATCAAAGTGTGTTCTAATAAGGAAGTAACTTTCCAGAATTAGAGTTCTGTCATCCTTCCCTCTAACAAAGAGTGCGTTTTTTATATTGGGTAACTGAATGCTAGCAGTAGCAATATGTATGGAATTAACCTAATATCGTGAATGGTCGAAATGGTAGAAATTAATAAGAATAAAGGTAGTAAATTCTATGATAGAATATCCATTCCTTTACTCTGAGGAAAAAGTATAAGAAACCGTTTACTGACAATGCCCATGTAGATTCTTGAATATTTCTAAATATTACTGAGAACCCTAAGAGATGATGGCTATGCTTGCTACAAAACAGCAGAATTCTGCATCTGGAATTGTGCATTTGACAGAATCCTTCTAGCATGATGATGATCAAAACACATAAAGCCACATAGAACTGGGTTTCCTGGGACCTGAAGAGCATGTGATAGGAACCATTTTTGTATACTTGCCTGATGACAAAAACTTAATATTAACAAGCACCTATTAGTGGAACCAACTTTTTGCGAGGCTTGCTTCCTTGTACTCAGGCAGGGTTGCCTACCAAAACATGACCCAAAGAATTGTATTTCACTAAGTTAGCTTAAACCAGCTTTCAGCAGAGGTAGAGCGAGCAGTCCATGCCAAACCCATGACATTCCTAACTTCTGAGCTTTGACATTTTCAGGGTGCATGGAGTAATGCTGGTTTCTCTGTATGCAAGAGAGGGGAATTGACATCCTGTTAAAAAGGATGCAAAACGAAAGAAAATAATTATAATGCTTCATCTCATACTGAAAACCATTACTGGGAGAAAATGATCTATTTTCTTTCAGACAAATTAAACACAATGACCAAACTTGTGATCCCAAAAGGATGAAAGCTTCCCCAGAGCAGAGTGAGCCACTGTAAACTGCAGCAGTCAACTCACCTTCATTTCTCATTTTTTAGGCACTTCCATAAACCTCACCTTGCAGTACTGTAAACAAGGAAACATCTTTCCCTTCCCATTCTTGTGCTTCCCAACAACATAATGACAAGTGTAATCAGATCTTGAAAGATCATTCCACTGAATCCCTACTAAATACAATCTCTTTCTTTGATTACGTTTCTCATTACTAATCACGTTTGTGCATTGAGATCCTAGTAGATGGTATGTCCTTCGCAATTCACAAGGTTTATTATGTTCATGAAATTATACCCTGACTCAAGAGAATTACGGAATTGTATTGGTGCAGTTGTGGAGAGAGATGGAGCAGAAGTAGGCAGAGGAGGAAAGATGAATACAAGATTGTGTTCATCATCTCTATTCCAGTTTCCCTTCACACCGTCACTTTCTTCATGACCAGAATGCAGGTTTTATTCTAAACAATCCATGCTCTCTCACAAATCCAGAGCTTTGACAAAGTTGTGACTTCCTTTGCTGGGATCGCTGTCTCCAGTCTCTTCTCTAACCCAGGTCTGCACAGCTGACACCCTGTATCCCTCCCTGTGGCAAGTCCTCCCTGGTACCCACCTTTCAAAAGAGACCAGACCCTCCCATTGTGGGTTGTCACAGATTCTTCTTATGTGCTTTCCCAGGTGCCTTTACTTTCCTTATAGCATGTAAACAACTGGGCTGAAGGAGTGATTTTCTTCCTTCCAGACCAGGCGTCCTCAAACTACGGCCTGCGGGCCACATGCCACCCGCCTAGGACATTTATCCGGCCCGCCGGGTGTTTTTGCTGCCACCGCCTGTCCTGCTTAGCAGCCGACTCCTCCCAGGACCACAGTGCACAATCTCCAACGGTCTGAGGGACAGTGAACTGGCCCCCTGCTTAAAAAGTTTGAGGACCCCTGTTGTAGACTGCAAGCTCAGCTCCTAGGTTCTGTACCCCAGGGAACAGAGCACAAAGGGCAAAGTCAGTCCCTGCTGTGCACATCAACCCCTGTCCCAGATCACCTTGTCTGTCCCATGAAAGACCCCTGCACCCAGGGTTCTGAAGCTCGAATCTGAGGTGAAAGGACAGGCACTTAGAGGGAAAAAAGAGAATTAAATCAATACTTTCTGTGATTGCTTCTCACCCAAGCCTCAGGCTGCATTCTGACTCAGAGGTAGACACCTCTACCCCCACATACACACCCTGAAAGAGAGGCTTCCTCTGTACAAGAGTTCTCAACTTTGTTTGTTTTTGTTATTGTTGTAGGTGTTAGTTTCAATAAACCACAGTTTCCTCAATAGTTTTTACAGACTTCATTTGAGGGATAGAACTAGTAGCCTAAACCTTGTTGTGCTCTTGGCACAAATGGCTAAGGCTGGAGCATTGGCCCAGTCACTGCAACCTCAGATTCACATTCTCTCTGCCACTTCAGTGACTCAAGTGGAAATCCCTAGACTACTATGGTTTTCTCACTCATATTTCTTGAAAATAATTATGTGAGAATTTCTAAGTCCCACCTGCCAAAATATGAATCACAATCCCTTCCACACGTATACACATTGTTGTGCTGTATATGAACTTCCTGGAGCACAGGAATGCCAGGAGGATCTTAAAGCCTAAACACGAAATGCAGCCATTTGTTCTTGGTGTCCAGCCACCATCTGTGCAAAGAGTGTCTGTCTGACTAGCTTCTTTGTGACTTACCTGAGGGGCAGGCACGTCTTGCTCCATTCAATGGATTTAGCAAAGAGTTTGTCCATCATAAAGGTTTCATATGCATTGTATATATCTCTCAGGAGTATCTAAAGATTTTATCTAGAAGATCAGCTGGCCACAGTGTGTTTTTGTCATCTAGTCAGAAAGAAAAACATGAATAGAGCCAATACCTAACCGTTATCATTTCAAATCCATTTTCTCTCTGCTACTTCAAAAACACAAGTGGCCCCTGGGACAAGTATGCATTCTCACATAAACTGAAATGGAAGGGAAGGGTGATGTTCCTTCAGCTCCCACCTACCTAAACTTGGAACACGGACATTTCTGCAGCCACAGGAGTCATTTGGATGTACTTAAATCCCCTGCTCAGCACAAGAATTCTAGGGAGGGTCAAATGTCTCCAGGACGTCATGAGCCTAAGCATGTCATGCTGCCATTCTTGCTGCCACCACCTCTATAATACCCCCGTCAAGTGGGGCTGACCACTCCCGCCATGACTCGGCATCTCCTAAGGGAGGCCTTTCCCTTCCTCATCTTGGGTTCTTCAAAATATTTTTTTTTAAGTTTTTTTATTTATTTATTTTTTCCAGCATATCATGGGGGCACAAATGTTAAGGTTATGTATATTGCCCTTGCCCCCCCTCTTGAGTCAGAGCTTCAAGTGTGTCCATCCCCCAGTTGGTGCACATCACACTCATTATGTATGTATACCCATTCCCTACCCCCCTCCTGCCCGACACACGATAGATGTTATTCCTATATGTCCATTTAAGTGTTGATCAGTTAATACCAGTTTGCTGGTGAGTACATATGGTGCTTATTTTCCATTCTTGGGATACTTCACTCAATAGAATAGGTTCCAGCTCCATCCAGGAAAATACAAGAGGTGCTCTATCACCGTTGTTTCTTACAGCTGAATAGTACTCCATGGTATACATACTCCATATGTATGTATACATACATATATACAGGTATATATGTGTGTGTGTGTATATATATATATATATACATATACCACATTTTATTAATCCACTTATGTATTGATGGGCACTCCGGTTGTTTCCACATCTTTGCAATTGTAAATTGTGCTGCTATAAACATTCACGTGCAGGTATCTTTTTCATAGAGTGCAAAAGATTTTGTATAGGACATGGTACATTATGCCTTTGGATTCAAAATCAGAAGACTGTTATTTTCTGTGTTATCTTGTAACATGTATGCATTTAGAATGGCATGAATAATGACCAGGGACAATGGGAGGAGAGGCAATCCTTTGTGGGGAAAAAACCCAGTTTGTGTTTCTAAATGGTTAGCCACTCAAAGGTTTTTTAAAGAGATATAATAATTTACTGGTGCTGAAAACAACTGGGAAGGATAAATAATGACAGAAATGGATGTAGGTGATCTCTAATGCAGACAAATGCATTGATCTGTCTGCATTAATCATCCTCTCATAAATTCAAAGATTTATCTCCTTAAGTTAATGACCTCATGACCACCTATGTTTTTCTTTCTCTGATATTATTCTGTTTCTCCTAATATTTTTATTTCTTTATTTTTTCTTCCTTTATTTTTTATTTCAAGCATTGAAATTCACCTGCCAAGATGAAATGAAAGTATATATTTTAATTGATTCTGAAAAAGAAAAAAAAAAACAGTATATCTAGAATTCCCAGATACCAAATAGGAATGACAAAATAAAAAACAGCCATTTTTTACAAAAGAGAAAATAAAAATGAATACTCAAAACATAAAAGGAAGGTCACCTTTAAAAGTAAACAAAGGATGCTAATAGGCCCATAATACTGTTCTGTGTGTAAACACAATATTAAAAAAGTGAAACTACTCACACCATCCTTGTTGATAAGTACATGATACACTGGGGAACACTGCTGAGGGAAATACAAATAAGTACAAATCTTTGGAAACCAATTTGGCATTATCTCAGAACTTAAGACATGCATACTGTCCAAATCTTATAATTTCAACTGTGCCTATGAAGATAAGGAGACAGTATAAAACTATTCACAACAGCATCACGTGCACTAGCAAAATTTTGGAAGAACCTATGCCCGGTGACAGGTGAATCAGGAAATAACCCTTGGAATATGATGCTGGCTTAAAATCAAATAAAAAACATTGCTTTCCATCGTTAAATGAAAGACTGAATCACCCCAATGTATTACTCCAGAAGGAAGAAGCCGTCCCAGGAGCAGAAACATCCTCTGCAAGCTTCAGAGGCAGTACAGCAACTGCACCCCGTGGGTATCCTTACATGGCATATCAAGCATCCGAGTTCAGCCGTTTCTTAAACCAGGTACCACCTTCCTGTTGCCACTGTTTTTGCCTCCCTCAGACATAAGGGTTGATTAGGGTTTTGAAAAGATTCTCATTTAATCTCTGACTAAATATAATTTCGTTCTTTTACTGTACCTCTCATCGTTTGTCAATATGTAATTGGACTTGTCACTGGATTCCACCTCCTTTGGTATTCACAAGGTGTGCATTTATGAAGTTGTTTCTTTCTTCAAAAAGATGATTGTCTTTCATTGGTTCAAATATAGAGTGTCAGGAGAGGCATCCAGACAAGGAGAGATGAGTACAGCATCAAATGTACGTTTGTAGCTTACATTGCAGTTTCCTTTCACAACTTTCCACTACAACCGATGACCATAAGTTAGGGTTGATGTTCAAAATTCCTTCTCTTACCTATATAAGATGTTTTGACATATGGTACTTCCTTTGCTTAGAATCCTTTATTCTCATCTCTTCATTGGCTCTGATACGCTTCTGGGCCAACCAAAATCCTTTCTTCAGACAAAACTTGATTGATACCCTCCTCCGGCAATAGACTATATCATGCCAGTGTTTCAACTCTACTAGAAAATAGGCCCAGTAATAGCTTTCATGTCCAGGGGAAAAGCAGACAGCAGTGCACAAACAAGTGTATTTCTCTGTTCAAATGAAATCCATGACTGCTTTTGTTTGGCCATGATGTGACCAGTGTGCTCACCTCTGCCCAGGACGCAGAGACTGTTTATCTAGAGTGAGTGGGGAGAAGCTAGAGAGATAGGCAAGGGGAGCATTTCTTCACCACTCTTTCATCTAGATTCTCACCCAAGGCCCAAGCTGCAGTCTGACCCAGGCTGCGGCCTCCTCCACCATCCCACACATACTGCTTGAAGACAAGATACCTATATACAGGGGTTTGCAATTTGTAGTAGTTTTTCAGGTTCTTTATGTGTTTGTGGGTGTTGATAAGTTCAAGAATCCTACTTTCCTCTATAAATTCCACGTATCTTATTTAGGGGTCAAAGGTAGCAGTCTCTGCTTTTTAGCCAACTTGGTTTAGGTGACCAGGGATGAAATTCATGCCTAGTCATTAATGGCTCAGGCACATTTTTCTCTCTTACTTCAAAGACATAAATGAACAGCCAAGGACAACATTCTGGGAAGGAACTTATTTCTCCTACATTCTGGCTCAGAGGGACTATGTGAAGTTTTCCTAAGTCCCATCTTTCTAAATAGGCAGCATGACCATTTCTACAGCCACAGGAGTTACTTGGCTACATACACCTAAACCACCCTTAGCTCACGCCTCCCAACTAGGGTCCTATGTCTGCTACACTATGTCTGCTACACTTACACTTAACCACCTCATGGGTTCATTTCTTCTTTGATACACAGTACCTCTGCAGGAGGCCTAGTAAACGTCTGATCACTTCCTCCATGATTCACTAGCTCTGAAAGAAGTCCTTGCTCATATATGTCTGAGTTATCCCAAAGATATTGCTTGCAATAAGATTTCTCTATACCTTTGTATTGGGAAAAAAAAGCAGGCTATTCTACTTTTTATATCTTTTGTTGTGACTTTCCTAAAGCAAAGAGCACAGAATGGTTTGGAAAACAAATGGAGATAGCGCTAGCTAAAAATTATTATCTGAGAATATAAACGGAGGTATTATTTTTATCGCCATTCACCATGACTGCATCTGGGATTTCCACACGACAGTCAACATGAATCATGATATGTGTGTGGACTGGGAAGACATACAAACCTTGCGTAGACTGTGAAATAACAGTGACAATAAGGGTATTTCTGCTAATTGAGCATCTACTGGGTAAAGCTGGAAGTAAAAGTTGTGTTTTTATGTATATCATTCATTTATTCTTCAATACACCCTATGAACACAGTAGGAAGTTCATGTTTCAGGCAACAAAAAATGTCTTCCTTTTTGGACAGGTTAAGTTTGAGGTTGCCATAGGACATCTACAAAGCTATCCATACAATATGTACATATTATACTTGAAAGTTAATTTGAGCTGGGCCTTTGACTGAATTACATCAGCATAGACACAGTTGTTAAAGTAGTAGCTGTGGCTAATATTATCTAAATAAAACAGTGACATTGATGTCACTCATTTACTGAATACTCAGAATGACTCGGCCTCTTCTAAGGGGTTTTCAATTATCTTAATTAAACTCTATAAAACTCCAATTGTTTTATGTATTAACTAATTTAATTATTTGTGATACACAATGATGAGGAGAAGGGATTTAATTGGAGGGTGATCAGCCGAGCTCTTATCAGACTTAAATAATCAAGGATGCACCTGAGCAAATCAGAACCTGCCTTCAGTGAGATGGATGTACTACCACAGACAGGGGTGGTTGGATCTACATGACAAAGTCCACGATTGACAGACACATTCATGTGAGATTCTTAGAACACTAACAAAGACTAACATTGGAATGCTAACAGCTCAGAACAAAGGCTGACATATTGTGGCACACAGACATGCACATGCTCTCAGATTGCTTTCGTTCAGGAGGCCAGCAGTCAAACATTCCAAACCTTTCTCGATAGCAATGGCACCAGGAATACCTTTGGTACCCTCTTCTCGCCTGTCTGCCCAATAAGAACCTTCCCCTCAGCTCTTGGCATTGGGTACACCAGCTCCTTCCTCTTTACTGTTGTTCCCTGACATCTCCTGCTCTTCCACTGGTGCTCCTGCTGGGCAGCAGTGAGTGTGTCATTTCATGGTCCCAGCAAAGGGGAGGGGAGGCATGACTCATAGTACAAGAATTCATTAAAGTAAGTGGGTGAGAGTGAGAACAGAGTCCTTTGGAAGGGAATAGAGGAAGAGGTGTGGCCCATGTGGAGGAGACAGTGTGAGTGAAGGAAGAAATGTTATGACCACCAGCATTTCAACTGGTTTATCTTTGTTTCTTTCTTCTTCAAGGGCAACATGGATAAGGATACCAAAGAACCATTCAAGCCAAAGTTCACCTAATGTCCTCCTCCTAAAAACCTGGATTCCATTGATAATGATGTTTATGGAGATAAGATCTAAGTGCAAAAAAAAAAGTTTAAATATATATATACATACACACACCCACTGAAATATAACAGGATATAAACCAGATATTAATTCTAGAGAATAGGGTGTTAAGGGTGCCTTTTCTTTTGTTCTTTTTACATTTTTGTTTTTTCTTATCAATTTTTACATTTACAAATTTCATAATTTGAAAAAAAAAATAAACATTTTTTTTCCTAAAAGAGTACTTCCCCAGCAGTTTCTTTAATCCATTTGTGAGTTGCTTAAAAACAAATAGTTTGTAGCTTGCCAACCAAGGTGGGGCACAAGGGCCTCAAACAATGTCTGGACTTCTGTATTTGGTGTGATCTTCACAGGGTTAGCCCCTGGTAGAGAATGAACCAGCTGTGTCCTGCCCACAGAAACCAGGCTGAGGGGCAGGTAGGGGTGACGCCCAGCCTGTGCTTTAATTGTCAAGCCCTGTGTCCTGGGAAGGGGTTGCTTTAGCCCAGAGCAAGGGAAATTCTTTCAGAATTGGTTTCCTGCAGAGGGCATAAAGGGGTAGTTTGTCAGCCAAATGGGGCATCTTCTGGTGATTTGCATGAGTGTACTTGTATGTTAGAAGAATTTCTGGCCCTGTCTGATGTGAAATACCTGGTTTCATTCATTTCTTCAAGTACCAGTAGCTCTTCAGTAGCTCTTAAATCATATTTCCTGGTTCTCACATTCCACATATAGGGATCGATGAGAAAATTGTCTCAGGCAAACACTTACTTGGGCAAACCAAAGAATACTTAATTTACTTTAGAGTAGAATGCACAAAGGACATAGCAAAAACTGAAATTTATGATGTATTTACTGACCACATACGTGGTACTTGGTATTTGCGATTATTTTGTGTTGTTTAATCTTCATATCAGCTTTAGAAGGCTGACCATTTTCTCCTTTCTACTTGCCCTATATATAAAAAAAGGAACAATAAGGCAAATTCACTTTCCCAAGGAAACTTCCGTGATCATTGATAGCCTCAATTTAGAATCCAGGCCTCTTATTCTGGTTTGGGGTAAATGTGCTAATAATGTCCAAGGAACAAGGTGAGATGAAAATCAAACAATTAATAAGACAGGATTCTACCTAAGATCGAGAAAGCTGAAAAGTGCCTCACTCTCACTCTTAAAACAAAATAAAGTGAAATAATATGCAAAATCAGAAGCTTGGCCGGGCGCGGTGGCTCACCGGGCGGATTGCTCGAGGTCAGGAGTTCAAAAACCGGCCTGAGCAAGAGCGAGACCCCGTCTCTACTATAAATAGAAAGAAACTAATTGGCCAACTGATATATATATATAAAAAATTAGCCGGGCATGGTGGCGCATGCCTGTAGTCCCAGCTACTCGGGAGGCTGAGGCAGAAGGATCGCTTGAGCCCAGGAGTTGAGGTTGCTGTGAGCTAGGCTGACGCCACGGCACTCACTCTAGCCTGGGCAACAAAGCGAGACTCTGTCTCAAAAAAAAAAAAAAAAAAAAAAAAAAAAAAATCAGAAGCTTATAAACTCACCAGAGACCTATGATGGTCTGAAGCTATTTATGCCCAATTAATCCAAGTAAAAGAGGCATTATAGTTATGCCTTTATGGTTTAGGTCCAAATATCCAAGGAATAAAAGTAAGTTTGTTTTTGCCCTTATGTCTTTTATGAGAAGCTACGGTAGATTTACATGCCATGACTAATCTCTTTTATACATTTTTTTGTTTGTTGCCAAATATATTATTAATTTTGATTGTTTGGGGAAACCAGATTTTGAAAGAAGTTTAGAAGCTCCAGAATCCTGTTTCCTCATTACATTGAGAAAACTGAAGATTAGAGAGATTAAATGTTCAAAATCACAGCATCATTCTGCTAGATAGGAAATAGATATCATCCTGAGAAGATGTCACGGACTGCTAAAATGTCCTCTAAATTCAAATTTAACTTATGGACATGGGGAAATGACAACTTTATATACAAATAATGCTTGTATTCTGAGCTATTCTATATATTCATATTCATATTACTTTATGTAACCATGTGTGATTGTTCACTAGTATGTAGGTGATGGTGATTAGGAGTCAGAAAGGAAGTCATTTAGGTGCTTCGCCCAATGCCTTTGCTTTGCTTAACATCATGCTGATTCCCCTGTGGAACTGTAACTTCTAAGAACAGTCTGTCTCTACATGAAATAAGAAATTACCATCCACACAAAATAATTTGCTTCTTCATTTTGTTTTCACTTAATAGCTTCTTCCTTTAATGCCTTGACCCCACTCTATCTTATCTTTTTGCACCTCAACCTACATCTGAGCTCCTCCTTGGGATCAAAATCAAGTAGGTGAGAAGCTGGAACTTCCCCTACATTTCAAGCATGTTGACCAAAGAGGCTAGAACAGGTCACAGAGATCTTAATCTTCTCTCATAGATATCTTAGAGACTGGTCTGTTCCAAGTGGTTTTGAAGTATGCAAGAGGCAGAAACCTATCTTTGGAAGGATCTCTGGAGTATCAGAATATCCTTATTGTTAGAAAAGGCACACCCATGTATATTGGAAATACTATTCCTCTAAAACTGCATAGTGAGGCATGATTATTTACTGTGATAAGAACACTTTACAAGAGATCATCTACTTAAATGTGAAGTGTAAAATGCAGTATAATTAACTATCAGCACAATGTTATGTAGAAGATTTATAAAACTTATCCATCTTGGATAACTGAAATTTTATACTCATTGAATAGCAACTTTCATTTCCTCTTTCCTCCATCTGCCCACAACCACCAGTCTACTCTCTGCTTCTGTGAGTTTGACTCTATTAGATATCTTACGTAAGTGACTCTTTCAGTGTTTATGTACTTTATAGATTGTATATACCTTATATGAGTGGGCATGTGCAGTATTTTCTGTCTCTGACTGGCTTCTTATATTCAGCATAATGTCCTCAAGATTCATCCATGTTGTCACCTATTACAAAATTTCCTTTTATAAAAAAGAAGAAATAATATTTTGTTACATGTATACAGCATTTTCGTTACTGATTTATTTGTCAAAGGAGCGTTTAGGTCATTTCCACATCTTGGCTATTTGAGTAATGCTTCAATGAACATGGAAGTGACTGATATCTCTTCAAGATCCTGATTTCAGTTCTTTTGGATAAATTCCAAGAAGGGGGAATGTTGGATCATAACTGTTTACCATAGTGGCAATACCATTTTCATTACCACAATAAATATACAAGGGTTCCCATTTCTCCATGTACTCACCACCACTTGTTTTTTTCTTCTTCTTTTTGTAATAGCCATCTTAACAGGTGTGAGGTGATATCACATTGTGGGTTTGATTTGCATTTTCCTCATGATTAGTGACGTTGAGCATCTTTTCATATACCCATTTGCCATTTGTATGTCTTTTTTGAAGAAATTTCTATTAAAGTCCTTTGCCCATTTTTTAATTGGGTTATAATTATTCATTTGTTATTGAGTTGTAGATAATCCTTATTTTGCATATTAACCTCTTATCAGATAAATTGCAAATACTTTTTTTCCTTTCTATACATTGCCTTTTCGCTCTGTAGACTGTTTGTTTGGCTATGCAAAAGCTATTTAGTTTATTATCGTCCCACTTCATTATTTTTGTTTTTGTTTACTATGCTGTAGAGTCACAACCAAGAAATCATTGCCAAGACTAATGTTCGAAGCTTTTCCTCTATGATTTCTTATAGAAGTTTTATATTTCCAGGTCTTACATTTAAGTCTTTTTTTTTTTTAAGACAGAGTCTCACTCTGTCACCCCAGCTAAAATGCCATGGCCTCAGCCTAGCTCACAGCACCTCAAACTCCTGGGCTCAAGCAATCCCCCTGCCTCAGATTCCCAAATAGCTGGGACTACAGGCACATGCCACCACACACAGCTAATTTTTTTCTTTTTCTATTTTTAGTAGAGATGCAGTCTTGCTCTTGCTCAGGCTGGTCTCAAACTCCTACCTCAAGTGATCCTCCCGCCTTGACTTCCCAGAGTGCTAGGATTACAGGCGTGAGCCACCGGGCCTGGCTACATTTAAGTCTTTAATTTGCTTTTGAGTTGATTTTTGTGTATGGTGTAAGATAAAATTCTAATTTGATTCTTCCACATGTGGATATCCAGTTTCCCCAACACCATTTTGTTGTAGAGAATAGTCTTTTCCCCATATATATTCTTGGTACCATTGCTGAAAATCACTTGACTGTTTATGCATGGGTTTATTTCTGGGCTTTCTATTCTTTTGCATTGCTCTATATGTCTGTCTTTATGACAGTGCCAACTGTTTTAATTACTGTAGATCTCTAATATATTTTAAAACAAGGATGTGTGATGTCCCAACTTTTGTCCTTTTGTCTGAAGAATGTATTGGCTATTCAGGTTCTTTTGTGGTTTCATATGAATGTTAGGATTTTTTTTTTCCATTACTGTAAAAACTGGCATAGGGATTTTGATAGTGATTGCATTGAATCTGCAATTATTTTGTGTAGTTGGGCACATTTGAACAATATTAAGTTTTCTAATCCATGAACATCAGATGCCTTTACATTTATTTGTGTTGTCTTTAAATTCTTTCATCTATGTGTTGTACTTTGTAGTGTTCAAATGTTTCACCTTACTTAAGTTTATTCCCAAGTACTTAATTCTCAGCCAAACTATTGTAAATGGACTATTTTACTGATTGTTTTTTATTAGTGTATAGAAAAACAGCTGATTTTCATATATGGTGATTTTCTTTCCTGTAACATTATTGAATTCATTAGTTCTAACAGATTTTATTATGGAGTTTTAGGGTGTTCTGTGTGTGTGTGTGTGTGTGTGTGTGTGTGTGTGTGTGTGTGATCATGTCATTTGAAAAACAGAGATGTTTTACTTTTTCTTTTCCAATTTGGATGTCTTTTCTCTCTTTTTCTTGCCTAATTGACGAAAGTGAAAATATACTCAGAAGTGAGATTCAAACCTATGACTCCTAAGGCATCTGGAGAGAATATCAAGGGTGTGTGTGGAAGGCTACTTGATGACAGATGGCACAAACAACCCTCTCAGCTGTTATTCAGTTATTTGAGTTCCTTATGTGCTTTGGATATTAATCATTTGCTGGGAAAACTGTATATTCACATGCAAAAAAGTGAAAATAGAACTTTCTCTCTCACAATATACAACAGTCAACTTGAAATGTATTAAATACTTAAGTGTAAGACCTAGAACTATGAAACTACTAGAAGAAAAGATAGGGAGAATGCTTTCGGACATTGGGATGGGCAAGGATGTTTTCGATAAAATCTCAGAAGTACAGGCAACAAACGCATAAGTGTAAAAGTGAGATTACATTAATCTAAAAAGCTGCTGCATAGTAAAGGAACCAATCAACAGAGTGAAGAGACAACTTACAAAATAGGAGAAAATATTTGTAAACTATACATCTGACAAGGTGTTACTACATTTCAAACGAGGGAAAGTAGTTGACCCTCTGTCAGGTATATTACGGAGGTATCTTTCCTCAAGGAAGCAGTTAAACTTACCTTCCAAAGTGAGGGGAAAATGCAAGTTTCCCACCACACAGAACACTGTGCTGTGCTAGCTTGGAGTGCGCAAACAAAATTCTTACAAAATAGATTGAGCAAATGCCTAAAGATAGTTACTGGGCACAAGAGAAGTGCCTCAGCACTTTCTTGAGGTAGAGGAAACTGGTGGAAACAAGCCCTGACTGCCTTAGAACTGCTTTAGCTGACCTATAATACCCTGTAGCTACTTGTAATACTAAAATCCCCACCTAGTGGAGAATTGTAATATCATTAGCATAACATAGGTTATATAAAGGCACATGATGATTGTACTGTGCATGCTTGATTTTTTTTTCAATGGAAACATGGAACGATATAATGGAAGAGCTCTGCTTTACTCACTGGGACAGGATTTAAAGCAACATCATTGGCGGGCAGACACAGACTCTTGTAGCAAGAAAGCTGCTGTGGAAAAGTTCCTGTGCTGCCCAGGAGCAGAACTCCCGAGTAAGTAACCTCTAATAAACTCATCTAACTCACTAAGCTGGACTTGTCTTAGTCATTCTTTCATCTCTCAACTCCATCTCAGTTTGAGGGGTGGAGTGTCTATTCTGTTATGTCCCAAGATTTCCCTGAAACACAGAGCTTAAGTAAGTTCCATAAAACTGGTTTCAGGGAGATATTCAGATAAAGTCTCCCTTCTCTGTTGGCAGTATAGGAGAGAAAACAGAGTGAAAAACAGCCAAGGATCTCAACATAACATTCTACCATATCACATTAGCCATTTTTCATTTCATACATAGTGGTACCAAAGAAATATTTTTGGAAAAGGATATCTGTCCACCATGTATATCTCATTTTCCTTAATTATTAGATGCAAATTTTCATTTATTATATCATTTATTATTCTCAACCTTCTATTTTGTAAGACTTTTACAGACTTTGGTCATACTCTTTCTCAGCTTCCTTTCTCCCAGCCTTTCCCCCAGCCTTGTCCTCATATTTTCCATCTCTGTTTCCCCTCTACTGATCTTGCCTATCTAAGGATTATTGATTCTGTCTCCATCCAAGATTTCTCAAGATCTCCTCTTCCTTCCACGAGGTGAAGTCATCAGTAGAATAGTATATACCACTCTGTGTGCAGAGGACGTAACAGTGGTTCTATAAGAAAAGAACTCTCCACAAGGAATGAAAGATCAAACTTGCAGAAAATAAAAAGAAAGGTGATTTTACCCCCATAATAGTCAGAGGCAGCAGAGACACAAATAAATTTGCTACATTCAAAGTAGGCTGAGGATGGAATTTTACAACTATAAAGGAACTTAATTGATTTCTTCTACAGAGCAGTTGGTGGCTTTGGCATGTTATGTGAAGTTACTGTGACGTAGTGGCCAAACCTAAGAATGACACTTTCTAACTTTAGATAATCTAGGAAAATATAACACACAACACAGTCCCTTCTGTAAAGTGCCTTAGATACAACCTAACAATAACCATTAATATACCAATATAGCACTATGGCTTATATTATCATTTACAAAGTATCATTTAGCCTTCCTAAATATCTTATGACAGAAGCCATGCTTACACACACACACACACACACACACAGAGGAAAATGTTGTGTAAAAGATGGCATAATTTTTTGTTGTTAGAGTTGAACTTAAAATCTTCAAAATCTTAAAATCAGTCATCTCAATGTGGAGAGCCTGCCTTCACCCTCTTCCCAACGGCTCCCCCTAGCACTTGGGACCTTTGAGCCCTGTGGAGGTTCTGCAAAGCCTTCTAGGCTTGCACAACCCAACCACACCCAGCCTCACTCCTTCACCCACCTCTGGTGTTGGAGAGATCACGCAACCCCATCAGAGCTACAGGGCCCCTCCCAAGGCCTGGGGCATTCAAGTGTTTCACCTGAGGGACTGGAGCAGGGGTCCTCAAACTTTTTAAACAGGGGGCCAGTTCACTGTCTCTCAGACTATTGGAGGGCCATTGGAGAGTGCGGTGCACATTCCACACATGCACACTGTGGGCCCGGGACAAGTTGGCTGCTAAGCAGGACAGGCAGTGGCAGCAAAAACATAAATGTCCTCAGGGGGCCACATGTGGCCAGTGGGCCGTAGTTTGAGGATGCCTGGACTAGAGCTTATCATAGGCACAAAAGACCATCTTCGCAGTTGGCTCTTCCTTGCAAGCATCAACGACTGACAGGAAAAACAACTCAATATCTCACTAAGGCATCTACCAACTCAATCAAAGAAGATATGACTAGTCCGTAAGGACTAAGCCATCATCGTTGGATGATGTACAGGGCCCCTGTACAATTCACACTACTGGAAAGGCAGGAAGATAGTAGGATAGTAGCAACCTGAGGAGACACCTCTTTTTAGGAGAGAAACAAAACTTAAAGGCAGCTCGACCTGTGAGGGGTCTCCCTCCTCCACGGCAGACCTCTAGCCTGGTTGGGGAGCTGCTCAGAGTGTGTGCAGAGATATTCCACCAGAGAGCAGGTGCACCAGAGATCTTGTACTTGCCAATCCCAGGATTCTACAAGAGACACCATCCTTATTGCTCTGGCATGTGGAGCCAGGTCCACTCAGAGCCCAGCCTTCCAGTAGCAGCCTTGGCATCACCCTTGCTGGGGCAGGGAGGGAAGAGACACTCCCTCGTGTTATGCTCTGTGACTGGAGGTACGGCACCACTTAGGAAGCCTGGGCGACTGCTACAGTGGGTCCCATGTGTCAGGGCAGAAACTTGGTCAACCAGCAGCTCTGGCCCACCTATATGGACCATGGACTCCTGAGACAAACCCCTTTCTGCACAACTGGCCATCAGCAGTCACCACACTGGTGGAATAGCCCCCCATATGGGTGGCTCTGCCCTCAAAGTCCCCAGAGCTAGCTCTGAAGATGTCTCTGTGCCTGAGTCCAAGGCTCTGTCCCTATAGGTTGTTGGCCCCCACTGGACCTGTGACTCACCCCTGAGACTCTGGAGTTTGCTGGACATCAAGACTCCACCACTGAGTCCCCACCACTACCACTGGGTTGGCAGAACCTCCCCAAGGTCCAACACTTCACTTGGGACATCCCAGTGCTGAGCAGCTACCACTCTTGTACTTGCTTCAAGAGAATCCCCAGCAATGGAGAACAGGTGCCCTGTAATCCTATTAACCTAGAGCCAAGAGAAGAGGAGTCAGATGAGAAAAAAAAAGTAGCAAAAGAACTCAGGCATCATGAAAAAACAAAATAGTTTGACACCCCCAAGAGATCACAGTGGAGCTACACTTCTGGACTCTGCACATAAGAAAAGTGCAGAATTGACAGAAATGGAATTCAAAATATGGATGGCAAATAAGGTGAATGTAATCGAAGAGAAAGCTAAAAACCAACAAAAAGAAGCCAACACATTTTCAGGAAATCAATGAAAAAAATGAAAAAGTCACTAGAGAGCTAGCTAGCATATGAAAGGATATAATAGAACCTAAAGAAATGAAAGAGTCATTTACAGAGTTTCAAAACACAGCAGAAAACTTTCACAACAGGCTAACCCAAGGGGAAGAAAGAATTTCAGAGCTTGAATACAAGTCTCTCAAGATAACTGAGTCATTCAAAGAAGCAGAGAATATAAAAACGTCTCAGCAATCACTGAGAGAGATACGAGACTATGTGAAGTGAACTATTAATAACATTTGAATTATAGGTATCTCTGTGGGTGAAGAAAGAGCTAAAAGCATGGAAAATCTACCTGAGGAAATTATTGAAAAAAACTTCCCTTATATTGCAAGAAATTCAGACATGCAGATACAAGAGGGACATCAAACACTGGGAAAATGTATAGCAATAAGGTTATTTCTAAGATACACAGTAATCGACCTGCCAAAATCAAAATGAAAGAAAATAATTTGCAAGCAGCAAGATGAAGGCACCAAATAAGCCACACAGAAAAACCCCTCAAGCTAACTGCAGACTTCTCAAAGGAAACCTTATAAGCCAGAATGAATAGGCGCCCAGTCTTCAATCTTCTTAAACAGAACAAATGCCAGCCTAGAATTTTGTATCATGAAAAACTAAATTTCACAATATATGCAGAAATTAAGTCTTTCCCAGACAAGCAAACATTGAGGGAATTTGCCATGACCAAACTTGCCCTGAACTAAATACTTAGAACAGGACTATCCACAAATTAACATAACAGATTCTCACTAGCATAAAATCACCTTAAAAAAAAAAACAAAAAAACACCTCACAAAACTCACAGCTTTTATAAAACAATAGAATAAGAGGTAGAACAAAGCAATAAGGGAATATCCAACAGGATGAAAAGGCCAGCATGAACACACATGCACACAGAGGGAAGTAAAATTAGTGGAGGGGCAAAAAATGTAGGTAATGGGTACAATGAGTGCTATTTGGGTGATGGGCCCAAGGATTACAAAAGAGATCCATGTAACCTAAAACATTTGTACCCCCTTAATTTTTTTATATAAATAAATAAGTAAACTGGCAAAAAATAGAACAATTAAAAAATCTGTGAAGATGAAAAGAACACAAAAAATGCTAAAGATTTACACAATGTTTTTTTCTAAAAAAATCCTTATAAATGTTCCCAAATCTCCTTTTTTCTTAAAAAAAAAAAAATCACAACCAACAATGAAAGAGAAGAAACTACATGTGGATCTATCTGGTGTCCTCATGACCCTAGAGAAGCCCACACTGCAGTTTGAGAAGCAGCCATGAGCCATGCATAATACCTAACCAGCAGATGGCATCTCGCTGTTTACAATGTACTTTCACATGGAGCCTGGAAGAGGGAACAGGAAAAAAAACTTCAGGGAGCACCTACTTATCTCTGAAATGGGATGATAATTACTACCCCCAACCCCAGGTGAAAGTACCCAGTACCTGACACAGGACATTTGCTATTTATTATAATCTACAATTATTAAAACTTAAATTAGGTGGAATAAACTTAACCAAGGCCACACAGCCAATAAAAGGCAATACAATACACTGATCCAAAGTGTCCTGAATCCACATTCTCTGTTCTTTGTTTGCCAACTGCCTTCTTGTACAGAAAGTATGGAGTGATCCCATTTTTAAAAAAGAAAAAAAGAAAAATAATGCTGGTGTTGTTTGCTATGATTTGGAAGGTACCACCCCCAAATAGCTAGCTAGCCCTGTTATAACTGAAGTATTAATGTTAGCATTTTCTTTTGCCTTAATCATTTATCTCTCTTCCTCTAGAACAGGGGTCCTCAAACTTTTTAAACAGGGGGCCAGTTCACTGTCCCTCAGACCATTGGAGGGCCGTTGAAAAGCACGGCGCACATTCCACACATGCGCACTGTGGGCCCAGGACGAGTAGGCTGCTAAGCAGGACAGGCAGCAGCGGCAGAAACACCTGGTGGTCATGATAAATGTCCTCTGCCGTACGTGGCCCGCCAGCTGTAGTTTGAGGACACCTGCCCTAGAATATCTGCACAGCTTGTTCTCTCACTCTATTCAGATTTGTCTTCAATTGCACCCTTCTAAGCTCAACCTTTGGTGAGCACATGCTGCAAAATAGCAAATGATCCCATTATTCTCCATTAACTTACATCATTTGCAGTTCTTTCTGGGGATGTGGCAGGGGGTACAGGGTCTTTCTTTGTCACTCAGGGCTGGAGTGCAGTGGTGTCATCATAGGTCCTGGATTCAAGCAATTCTCCTGCCTCAGCCTCCCAAGTAGCTGGGACTACAGGTGTACACCGCCACACCCAGCTAATTTTCCTAATTTTTGTAGATATGAGGTCTCACTCAGACTGGTCTTGACTCCTGGCCTCAAGTGATCCTCCTGTTTCAGCCCCTCCCAAAGTGCTAGGCGCCTGGCCCATTTGCAGCTCCTGATTGCACTTATAAACTTGACATTATATTATATATGCTCTTGTTATTTGTTTATTCTTTAATTGGCAGTCTATAGAAGTAGAAGTGACTTGTAGGCACGAACTTTGCCTACTGTTCATTGCTATACTCCTACGACCAAGAATAGTATTTGGCACATAGTAGGTATTTAATAAACACTTGTTAAATGAATATTTGTTAAATCTACAGTCTAAGCTTCCTTATCTAAAAGTTCTGCCCTTGGCATCTCCACTTACTAGATTTCCTTGATGTATTTGGCTTGCTTAATCAAGAGCCAGAGTTACTTGAGCATGGATAGAGTAAATGTCCTCACTGTACAATTTCAAAGAGGGATTTCCAAGCCAGAAACAGCACAGATAAAAAACAGAACAAATCACTGTAATCAAATTACAGTTCTACTTGTGGAATAATTTCAAAAGTGAGAAAAGTTGAGAGGGCTTTTCAAAATTTAAGATATTATGCCATATATATAATCCTGCATATAATAAAGATAGGAAACTTTTATATTTCTGTCCCTAGGAAGAGTAATCCAGATTCATATGGTTTCATCCCACCAGCTAACCTAGATTGTAAAAAGGAAGTAAAACTTGGTGGACTACATGGAAACTAAAAGTAACTGAATTTGTAAGTTATTACGAAACATGGAATTTATTTTAATGTTTCTTTTATTAGTTATTTTTTCCCCATAATTTAACTGGTGCATCCAATATTTATTTAGACTGTGGGTGTACTTTTACTCTGGCTATGCCATAATATTCTGCAATTATGAAATCATACAGTACTTAAATTACTACCATAATGTTAAGAAGCAATAACTTGCCATATTCCAAACTCCTTGGGAGAGCTCAGTTTCTGCTCTCTGAGTAATCCCTTATCTCTTTGCAAATTGATGATGCTCATGCAGGGGTGGGGAACCTGTGACCTCAAGGCCATATGTGGCCCTCCAGATCCCCAAGTGTGGCCTCTGGACTGAATCCAAACTTCACAGAACAAATCCCTTTGTTTCACACCTGTAATGCTAGCACTCTGGGAGGCCAAAGGGAGAGGATCACTTGAGGCCAGGAGTTTGAGAACAGCCTGAGCAAGAGCCCATTTCTACGAAAACCAAAAAGATTAATCAGGTGTAGTGGCACACGCCTGTAGTCCCGCCTACTCAGGAGGCTGAGGCAAGAGGATCGCTGGAGCCCAGGAGTTTGAGGTTGCAGTGAGCTATGATCATGCCACTGAACTCTAGACAGGGTGACAGAGCGAGACTCTGTCTCAACACAAAACAAACAAAAAAAGGATTTGCTCTGTAAAATTTGGATTCAATTAAAGGCCACAGTCTCAAGGATCCAGAAGGCCATGTGGGCCCCCAAGGCCGTATGTTCCCTACCCCTGGATGAGTAAATCAGGGTTTGATTCTGTTAGCCTGAGGAGCATTAGCCACTTGTCATTGGCTAGGAAACAAGACAGACCACAATAGTAGGCATTTGTTCCACTAACATTCTACAATCTTTTATGTCCATAATTCTGTATTTTTTTCCTGTCTTACACTCAAGCACTGATACCTGAAAAATCCAAGAATACAGAAACATTTATTTTGTTGCTTAGGAGTTTCTTTCCTTGTAACAAAGTTTCTCAAGCCCTGATCTAAAACATTAAAGGAAATAAAATTCAAACACCACTTCTCCATTACTTGCAAATTACTTTTATCTTCTCAATATGTCAACACCCCAAATCAAGCAAAAATATTAAGAAATATAAGTTCTAATTCTTTTTTCTCTTATTGAGTAAATCTGAGTAAATTATGGATTTTAGTAATGTGAGGTAACAATTCCAAAAAATAGATATTTAGGGTGCAGAGTTCACTACTGACAACAGTAAAGATTCTCATGATCTATATGAGGGTGATGTCTGCAGAAATCTTAAGACGCAAAAGAGGAAATATTGAAATAAAACAGAGTAAAGGAATTATCAATCTAGTAAAGATTCTCAATGATACTTCCTGGAGATTAGTCTGTCTTAGATGAATTAAACAAATACAGCATGGGGACACCAGAGATAGAGCAGGAGTAGGTGCTATAGTTTGAATATTTTTTCTTTCTCTCAAAAACTCATGTTGAAAGTTAGTACATAATGGGATGTGCTCAGATCTTGAGAGCTCCACTCTCACAAATGGATTAATGCTATTCATAATAGGGCTTCAGGGAGTGAAGGAGTGAATTAGTTTTTTCTTCTTTTTTTGCTTTTCCATCATGCAAAGACACAGTAAGAAGGCCTCACCAGATAGTAGTGCCTTGATCTTAAACCTCCCAGCCTCCAGAACTGTGAGAAATAAATTTCTATTCTGTGTAAATTACCTAGTCTGCTATTCCATTACGACAGCACAGAACAGACTGAACCAGTAGGAACGTATACCTTGTCCATTGCAGTATGGGTCAGAGAACAGTGATTCAGAAATGTCACTCACTCATATACTCTACATGTGCCATGCAATGCACATGAGATTAATAGTGCCAACGTCAGCCGTGTGCAGTAGGACCAAACTGATCCATATGGCCCCTGAGATTAACATAGGAATTCACTTTCCTCACCTGCCTCAACACTGAGTGTCATCTTTATTTCAGTCCAAAGTGGAGAGCTTATCCCCAAAACTACAGAAACAATTGCTGCTACAAGAATTATCTGGAGTTTATAGCTTTGTGCAAAAGTAAATATAAAAGAAGAGAAAAATTCAATACAAACTACAAAATTACAGGGAAAGACTAGTTGGGAGAAGCATTCAAGTTGGAGAAGAAGGAATTTCACTGCGCTGAAAATGTGTTCTGGGAACTGACCTCAAAGTGAGCTGTAGGAGGCTGCAGTCCATCTGGAAAATGCTTTACTGGTGCCAAGTTAACTGCTACTTCCAGAAACATCCTCCTTCCCCTTAGGAATGCAGACTGGATTGTAGAAATTCAAACAATCCCTTTAAACAGGAAGTAAATAGATTAGGAGAGCAACCAGAGGGCTTAACACACTATTGGTGATAAGTGTGTTATTCCTGCTTTCTCTTTCCCTTTTTTTTCTTGCGGTATAAAAAGTTAGACAGTCCTTTATTGCAAACAGGGAAATCTACCTCCTCTTGCTCCTGCTTAAAACTGCCAAATATATAAGTTTCTCTAGAATAAGTCACTGACTAGCTAGCAACCTGGAGTTGTCGGCCTATTTCTTTGGTCTTAGCTTATGGGGGCTGATTCTTGGTCCTGGATGCAGTTTTCCTATCGGTTAACTTACTACCTAAACACATTCACACATGGTGTGGGTGGTCTACCTTCCTTAACTCAATTTATCTGTAGAATGTAATCATCCTATAACTCTATCATATAATAATATAATTTAATAATAAAATGCATGTTAAGTAGAACACAATCTGTGAAATATAGGAAAATATAGAAACCTTAAATGTAGCGAGGAAAATAAAATAGCACAATATCAAGGGGGAGGAGGGAGATAAGCTTCAACTCTTGCTTTCAACTGAGATCTATGAACCAAAGATTGAGGCTGACATCTGAAATTCATACTTTCATTAAGGTGGGAGTTGGATAGACAAGTATTAATTTTCCAAAAGAGAAAAATATGGTTTAGGCTTGGTAGAATCCAATTCCTGTGTTTGAACCCAAATTGTCTAGCCCAAGCAGGAAGCATGAGAATCCATACAATGCCCATGTACTAATACTGTAAGTAGAACATTTTGTTTAGAGATACTGATGGAAATGGCATTCATATAAGCTTAAAAGGATATGAATGGTGGGATAAATAATAAAAGATTTATAGAAATTAGTAAGGCAGGCAAGTAATTTTGCTTAGCGGTCAAGAACATGGATTTGGAATAAGATAGACCTGGTTTGAATCCAGCTCCAATTTTCACTAATCAGATAATATGGGATAAACAGCTTAAATGGTTGCTACGAACAGGATTATGTCCCCAAATTCATATGGTGAAGCCCTAACATCCAATGTGATGCTATTTGAAAATATAGGCCCTTTGGGTGGGAAGTAGGTTATGATGGTGGTGTCTTCATAATGAGATAGTGCCCTTGTAAGAAGAGGCATCAGAGAATCCTCTCCTGTCCTCTCCTCTCCTCTCCTCTCCTCTCCTCTCCTCTCCTCTCCTCTCCTCTCCTCTCCTCTCCTCTTCTCTCTTTCTTTCCACAAGGTGAGGACCCAGCAGGAGTACAGCTATCTGCAAGCCTAGAAGAGAGCCCACACCAGAAACCAAACTGGCCACCACCTTGACCTAGGAAGTCCCAGTATCCAGAACTGAGAGAAACGTCTGTCATTTAAGGTACATAAACTATGATATTTTTATATGAGCCCAAATAGTGTAAGACAATAATCTTCTCTCAAATGGGGAAGTTGTGCCTCATAGGCTTGATTTGAAAATCAAGTTTCATATGTATATATGTTATTTAATACAGTCCAGCTGCATTGTGAGAAATCAGTAGCCAGTAGATACTATTTTTCTGAGTGAGGCAAAGACATTGAAAATACTGATAAAAGAAATGTACAAATACTCAAAAGTATGAAACAACATAAACAGTTCTGCAAAATCTAAACACTAGTATATGTGTAAGGGTATGGAAAATGATGCCAGAAGTTAAAATAGTAAGCTGCCTTTTGTCATAAAGAGACAAATGGAAGATTATTGTAAAAAAAAAAAAAAAAGAAACAAAAAAAAGTACATAATTGAGAGATATTATCTCTCAGAACATAATATCTCTCTCAATTAACATTTAACATTTTATCTGTATATTCTGGCAATTATCCCGACAAATACATAAGAGAGAGAGACAGACACACTATGTTTGGAGAAAGATGAATTGAAGGCAGTGGTGTGCTGAACTCCATTCATTCCCCAGCTAGACATTAGAAAGAACTGACTACTAAATATTCATGAGTTTTTTGAGCCGATTGTTAAACATTTGGCATCATGAAATCAACAGAGGTGGTAATATTTACACAATGGAAATTTACAAATGCTACAAATCAGGGCTCTTCCACAGTTATTGTTGTACTTGGATTCCCATCTTCTTACTATCTTACCACACTATACTATATTGCTGTGTTTTGGCTGTATTCTACTTGAAGTATTTGTTCTTTCTTTCTTTGCCCCCTCTTTTTCTGCCTCCTACGGTTTTAACTGAGCATTTTATGATCCCTTTTTATTTCATCTCATAGCATACAAATTATACTTCTTATTAAATATTTTAGCAGTTGCCTGAGAGTTTCCAAAATATATTTTTAAATAATGTAAACCTACCTTCAAATAACACTATATCGCTTCACATATAATGCAGGTTACTTATAACAGAGGATTTTCAATTCCTCCACCTCTTTCCCTATGACAATTGTGTCATTCATTTCATTTATCTATATGCTATAAGCACTGGATACATTTTCATTATTATTACTTTAAGGAAACAGTTATCTTTTAAGTTGATTAAGAATAAGAAACATTTTCTAATTATATTTTATATCTGGACAGCAAATATTGCAAGTTCTCACTTAAAAGTGGGGCTAAATAACGCATACACATGAACACAGCGAGTGGAATAATGGATACCGGAGATGCAGAAGAGTGGGAAGAGGAATTGCTTAGTCAGTATGATATTCACAATTCAGGTGATGGCTACAATAAAAGCCCAGATTTCACAACTATGCAATATATCCAGGTCACAAACTGCACTGCTACGCCTTAAATCTATAATAATAATAAAACTGAAGTGAAATAACTAGACCTTTAGTATGAAATTATTTGTTAAACCAGCTGGGTGTTAGAACATTGTTTAATGTTTGCTTTTGCTGTAGGTGCCACAGGTTCAAATTCCTGTAGTGTTCTTTTGTCTCCCCTCTTAAATTGGGGTTTCCCTAAGCATCCTCCTCACAGAGAGTCTGCCTACTAAGACTAATTAAAAAAATAAGGAGGGCAAATATAAATGACCAATACAGGAATGTAAACAAATGCCACTACACATAATACAAATAAAAAGATAATAAGAGAATATTACAAACAATATTATGCCAGTAAGTTTAGTAACTTAGATCTAAGAGACAAAATTCCTATAAAACACAACTTGCCAAAACTGTCTCATAAAAAGATAAAACAAATAAATATTCCTGTGTCTAATACAAAAAAGGGTTTTCTTATTAAACAATCTGTCTACAGTGAAAGTTTTGGGAATAGACACATGACAACCTCTATTAAATATTTGAGGAGAAAATATTAATAATCTTAAACACATTCTTTTAGAAATGCCAGTATTAGTGTAATACTAATCTAATAAAGATATTACACAAAAAGAAAAAAAACCCATTTCCCTCGTGAAAATAAATGCAAAAATACGTTTAAAATATTTAAAAATTAAACCTATTAATATTTAATAAATCATAAGACATTATGAAAAAGTGTTCTAAGGTGTATAAGATTGGTTCAACAGTTAAAACTCTATCACCCTTTCCAGTTTTCTGAGAAGGACACACCTCTTTCTCTGAGAAGGCAAAGGGAGGAGGCACTTGTTCCAGTCGCTGATGACTCCATGAATGTGTAAATCAATTTTGCTGACTGAGCTCCCATACTAATAGGTTTTATTCTGGCCTTTAGGGATAGTCAGTTGGAAAAGGGGTTTAACGCTCTCCATTTCCATTTTTTCTTTTAGACCAAAAACCTTATTATATGCCTTCATCCATGGGCCTTAAAATTCTCTGAGTATGGTTTCTTGATGTGATTGCTCTTCTACTACTCTTGCTTTTCTCCTTAGAGTGTCTCTGCTGTCTCTTAGACTGATAGCCGGGTACTGTTTGACAACTGTTTTCTATGAAGAGCCATGTAGTAATATTTTAGGCTCTGCATCCAGATGAACCCTCCTGCAGCTTGTCAACTCCACAGCTCCAACATGGTATAGACATTGACAATGCATAAATGAGCAAACATAACTTTGTTTCAGTAAAACTTGATTTACAAAAGCAGATGATGGTCATGTTAGTATTGTCCCCAACACAGTAATTTGCCAATATCTTGGGCAGGACATCACTCTGGTGGGACATTTTCCTGAGGACTTTGACCCTGGGAATTTGTATTTCAGATGATTAAGAGTCATGCAGGTTTATCCATACATTTTTCCTCATATCAGATGTTGCTGTGTGTTCTATTGGTGAGCTTTTTAATATGATGGCCCATGACCAGTTGTTCAGCCACTGCCTCGGAGTCAGAAAAAAAATGAACCTTTTTAAACATTTCTTTGCTTCATCTATTAAAATTTCATCGGATGGTATGGATTATGGAGCATTTTTCTGAATTGTCTTTATTGGTGTCACTAATTTGTATGGTGTATGCTGGAGTCTCAACTGAAGACATTTCCCCACACGATATAATTATAGATAAAGAGGCAGAAAAACATCCTGAAACGTGGTCATCCCTGCCAGGTGTCCTCTACCCTCTGACCTCTGAATTGGGTCCTCTCTGATTTCCCTCACTACCCTCTCTGCTACATACCTTAAGTCTAGATCAATTCATCCACCTTAACAGCAACCTAAAGCCTGTAAAAGAGAATCAAGAACACCCAAAGGTGTTCATGACCTTCACTACACAGGTCCTCTTTGCTTTTTCATGACTTACTCCTGCTTTGGTAAAGGTATTCATATGGTTTTAAACCCAGACTTCATGTATGCTCTCTGTGACCCTAGTTTGCATTAAGACAATGAGCTTCCTTCTGCTGCTTAGAATCAGATCATTGCCTGTATGAGCTTGTCTTTGAGGCTCCTTGTTCCACAGGTGGCCACATCCTGTTTGCAGATCAGATGGTGGATTACAGCACCACCTGCTGGATGGTTCTATTTATATGACTGTGGGGTTACAGTACTCCTGAGGGCACCCACTGTCCTTAGCTGAAGAAACACTGCTGAACAGAGATTTTAACATGCCCCTACCCGTAAAAACTTCAGTACACTTCCAGAAAGTCCCAGAGTTCAATGTGATCATGATACGAATGAACCACCCACTCATATTATTCTGTGAATAATGCAGAAAGCATGAGTAATCATAAATCATTGAGGTAAAGTAGCCTAGTCATAGCCAAGAAGACAGCTAGTATCAAACTCCTTTATGTATATTTGAGGAAGGATTTACATGTTCATAATGGTTTCCTGACCCAGCAAGCCCCAGATTTGTTAACTACTATTTACTGGGTGAATGGCTAAGATAGTATTTAAACCAATAACGTTCTATAGCAGACATTCCCCCATCCAAGAGACGGAGTTGTGTACTAATACCGATAGATGATTCTACCAAAATCTCCTCCTGCTACTCCACTTAGAGTGCAGGAAATGAGGGAGACACGGTTGGGTGGCTCACTTGAGCATCATTCAAGGGAATTTGTTTCTAATCGCCCACGTGTGAGACTGCTAAATAAGAAGGTTGTAATGTTGGAACTCCTTTCAGCTATTGACAATTTGTAAAAAATATATATATTATACATATGAAATAAATTAAATATATAATATATATAATTTATTCATTTGTACAAATGCATGGGTTTAAAGTGTAATTTTGTTACATGGATATATTGCATAGTGCTAAAGTCAGGGATTTTATTGTATCTCTCACCCAAATAATATACATTGTAACCACTAAGTAATTTCTCATCACCCACTTCACTCTCTACTCTTCCCCTTTTTATTTTGGTAAAGAGATTTACAGGAAGGAAGCTGTTAATTTTCTCTAAGAGAATGGAAAACCAAGAACACTGATAGGTGAAGTGTCAACATTGTTTCACAACTCCTTTCTCCCTGGAGCCATTGCTCGACATGAGTCAAGTTATCAAGTTACTCTAATCAGGGCTTTTTGCCTGTTGTCTTTTGAAATATTTCATTTGCATAGCATTTCATGAAAGTATAAAATCCTGCAAGTGTTACTGCTTTCTCTCTCTTCTCAAAGCAACACTGATTCCTGCATTTCTGAAGATCTCAAAATCTAGACTACTTTTGAAGAAATTTCCAGTGAGGTGAGTACTGTGGGTATTATTTGTAGAGAAGATCTGAGTTCTTCCTTAAAATGCACAAGATCATGAAGAGAAAATCAGGATTGGTTCTTCCACGTTTGGGTGAGGGGAGTAGGGCTGATGTCAACTGTACTCAGGAAAACGAAAACTACAGTTGCTTGGTTTTAATTCTTCACTTACTTAGAAAGATAGTAGACATTTTTAATTCCATCACAACTGAGGCCTGAAATAGGAGAAATGCATTTTGAACGTTAAAGATTTTTAAATTAATTTTCTGAGTCCTATTAATTAATTTCCCACCAGATTGATACTATAATTTGGAAAAAGGCTTTGGTTCTCTTGGGTGCTGAGGAACTCAGTGGCTGTTGGGGGGGCCTGGGTAAAAGACAAGAGAGTGGTATGAACAAGATCATGAATACTATTAAGTGAAAATCATATCTGGACATAGAGCTGTATCTTAATGGTATTATTACAATTTCACAAAACATGAGAACAAATGCACAGATAGTAGAAAATTTCTCAGTTTCACAAACACAGATATTCCAGTAAGTGGTGTCTTAACATTTTCCTAAGTATGTATAACTTTTACTTTACCTCCATTCTACACCAGGTATTTAAGGCAGTATTTCAGTCATTTTGGGGATTACTTTATGCCCTCCTGAAAGTTAATGATTTTGTTTTGTCTGGTGGCAAGGTGGTGGAGTCAATTAGAAAAAGATTTCTATTGCTAACTTTTAGAACTTTTAAAAAACTTTTTACATAGGCTGCTACAATATTTATTTCTTGTGTGTTTGAATAGAATGTGAGATTTTAAATGTTGATTTCTGACTTTTATAAATGTAAGAAAAATCTTATTAATTTATTGATTATGCTGGCAGAATTTTTTATGTATTTATAATTTTTTTACCTTGTTCATTTAGTAGTTGAAATATCTACTGATATCCTATCATAAAATTGTGTTATTCCTTGTAGTGCTCTCAAATTCATATATAGTGTATAGATATGCTAACACACACCTATGTATAATATCTATTATATATATGTAATCATGTATGCATGTATACAAACTCATATACACATATATAAATACATATGTGTGTGGGTGTGTGTGTGCGTGTCTGTGTGTGTATTAAAAGAAATATATAATAGTAATTATGTGACATTGAAAGACTATATAGTAACAACAAATAATATATTTTATTATTATATTAATTCATAATTAAGACTTGTATTTTCCTAAGAGTTGAATGTTTTATCATTATTTGGTATCTCAAATTACTCTTTGTCTTAAAGTCTATTTAGAATCAGCTTTCTTTCAGTTACTCCTTTCAAGATAATTTTTTTAATTTTTTCATTTTTAGGTGATCTTTTGGTAACATATATGTCAATTTCTTAAATCAAATTTGATGAAAGTTGTCACTTCACTGGTTAGGCCTTTTAAGTATATACTGCTATATTCAATTTATGGCACTCTTATAAACTCCTCATTGTCTTGTTTTTTTCTAAACTTATACCTCCATCTCACCCTCTAAGACAAATTTATTAGTAAGTTGTCATATTCTTTTTTCTTCCTCCTTGCACATATTAGTAGACTTTGTGTTTCTCTCCTTTTCAATCAGCCTTTTCTTTTTAAGACATAGACACACATAATCTAGTTCATTTTCCACACTTATTTATCTTTTGGTCAGTAGTGTTTTAAAATGTTATTAATTTTTTCTTGTTGAATATTACTTCCAATAGATGTATTTGTGTAAGTCTTTGTCTTGCAAAAATACTGATGACTTCAGTATCAGAAAAGAGTTGTTGAGGCTCATTATGTTTGAATGCCATTTTGTCTAGATTAAAATTCTAGCTTCAAAATTACTTTTTCCTCAAACAAGTGGAGAATACCTTTTTTACACCCAAGGGATTAGACATTTTTTTGAAACTCAGATTTGGAGGCTTCAGAAAGGCTATTAATACATGTATTCTAAATACTGCATCACTAGAAACTCCAGTGGGATCTAAGTCATTATTCCAAAATCAAAAGTGTTAATATTTTACAACAAAACCTTTGAACATGTACAGTTTAGTGGAATAAACTAAGATTATACATAGCCTCCTGTCACTTCACATTTGGTTTTATTTTGCAAATAAGTTATGCTTTCATAGCCACAAAAAAATCAAAACTTTCCATTTCTAATTTTTTTTTTTGCTATAGATAAGGGATTTTGGAACAGAATTATATAAAAATTATTCCAGGTCTTCCTATGGACAGTTTCATTTTTAAGAATCAGTTTCATTCTGATTATTGAATCTTTGTAGGTGATCTATATTCTTCATTTCTGGAGGCCTCCAGAGTAGTCATTTTATATTTAATACTCTTCAGTTTCACTATGATATGTCTTTGTATGGATCGTCTCTTCATTCTATGAGCCTTTTCAGTCGGAGGACACTCATGTTAATCAAAAAGGAAGCAAATAACAGTGCCAGGAATTATTAATAAAATATCCCAATCATACAAAACATATGCAAAGACATGATTCTCAATCTAAAAATGTTCATTAACTTAAAAAGATAATTGGAATCCATACCATGTACTGTGCATCAACAAGGAAGTACAAAAAGTGCTAAAAATTTCCAGGTGAGTCCATTTGGGCCCTGGTCTATGTTAGGACTCTGGGTGAAGCTTGCAGAAGACAAAACCTCCAGTGAGACTGAAAGTTTGTAGGGGACGTTGTCAGAGAAAGAAATGTAAGATTGGCTTTCCAGACAGTGAGAAAGGAATTAGGTACTTCGTGAAGCATGAAAATAAAAGGTGTGCTATATATATTTCCGAAGCATAGGATATAAGGAATACAAAAGTATCAGAAGCAGAAAAGATGCAGATATTCAAGGTCTTCTGAGACATTTTCAAAGTAAGACATTTTTGAAATAAACATGGTGAAATATTGAAGGATTTCCGTGGGGTAGTAGGATAAAAACGTGACTTATGGAGAGACAACTGGCTCTTGGAAAGAATTCATTAGTTAAATCAAGCCTTAAAAATATCGAATCAGGCAGTTAATGAAATCATTTCAGCCAATAAACACTGTGTGATGCTGCAGGAGAGAGCAGGGAGATGCACAGTGGTAGTATTAAGGGCACGGAGGATATGATCAACACCAAGGCAGACGGGATGTTGGTGAGAGCTGACGAGGGAAGAGACAAGAGGACTCGGATTGGGACTCCAGCTTGGAATCTCAGAAGGGTATTTGTATAAAGTAGGAGGCTGCAGACCATTCACACTAAAACCAGTTTAGTCAGTGGGGGTGCAAAGAGTCAGAAATCAACAGGCAGGCATTGGGTGATGGGGTCCAGACCCAGTCAAGGGTAGGATGGGTAGGACCAGAAACTCTAGCCCTGCACAGCCCATGCTCTAAACACTGTCACAATGGCCTTTTTCCACACCTCCTTCTGCCACACCCACTTGGACACAGCTCAACTATCGTTATTAGACAGGATGAATTTCATAGGCATTCCCAATACAGCAGTTCTTGACCCAATCTCCACAGTGGCATATCTGGTCAATAAGTCCCTCTTTGTCACGCACATCCGTGAAAAACACTTTCATATGGGCTCCTCACTCAGGTAGGCATAAGCAGTCATTTAAATTGTCTGTATAGGTGTGTCCCATTGCATGTCATTTTTCTCTTGTAGGCTCGCCTATGTCTTTGAACATGGAGGATGATAAACGCTGGAAAACTGTCCTACTTAAAGTATTACAGGACAACATTGATGATCCATTTACAATGATGACGTTCTTACTGGCCACTACGTTAAACCTGAGTGAGGAAACGCAAGAAAAATATGACAAAATTAAGATTGCTAAGTTGATGTCCGACACATTCCCACGTGACGGCAGCGTGGACAAACTTATACAAGTCTGTGAAAATATACCAGAACTTCAACCCATCGCAGAAACTCTTAGAAGGGAAAAGTCAAAAGGTAACGGAGATCAGGGAACATTTTCTCTCTGCCACTGTCCCCAACTCTTCTCAACCTTGACTAGATCCTCACCTTGGACAAAGTTGGTACGCCCCTGTCACAAGTTGTGACTCAGTGGCCTTGGCAGTGTTGTCACTTCACATGCCAACAAATGAACAACTTAGAGCATTCCAATTCTAATGCAGAATGTTGTATTTTGGAGGGCGTATCGGGGATGCAGGGAAAGAACTAGAATGCAAGGGAGTTGATAAGAGACTGAGACTTCCAGTACATTAGAAAGGTTAGAAAATGACAAAATAATACTTTTAAATTTGTTGTTCATTATAGGTACAATGCACACTGTATGGGTGATGAATACACTAGAACTTTGACTCAAATGGTACAAAAGCAATTTATGCAACCAAAATGTTTTAGCCCTGTAATATTCTGAAATAAATATATATGAAAAAAATAAAATAAAATTTGTTGTTTATATCAGAGATATGTACATTTAACCGTGTTAATGTATCTGTCCTATTGAGTCTATTTAATTCATCATTAACCTATATAATAAAAAAGGTAGTAGTTAAGCATAAGCCTACCTGCAAGAAGCATGAAGTTCTTCCCTGTCATGAAATGACAGAGTTAAAATACATGTGGGTGTATGTGTTTATACATACATAAAACTCAAAGTCCAAAATCTCCATGTCTCCCCTCACAAACCTGTATCACATTTCCATTCACTGGTTTTGTGATTTGAATAGATTATCTGGAGAACACGACCAAGCAGTCAGCATCATGAGATCCTTTGATTTTCAAAAGGCAATGATAGGAAAACAGGATGGGGAAAGATCTTGACTAATCACTCACAGTTCAGAGGACAGGAAAGAGGTGCTCAGTGCCCAGGGGAGGCATATGGGAAACGCTGAGCAACATGAGAAAGTGCCGGTACCTGTGTTGAGACTGTCAGTCACCTTGAGGCCGGGCTGGGCTGATGCAGTGGAGCACACCTGAGTCCTCAGCAGCAGCTGAGAGGAATTAGGATGGAAACTGCTTCAGCTCTCTGAGACCATCAGCTCTGGGTTTATATGTTCCCCTTTTTTCTGCATTAGTTATGAATAAAATCGAATCCACACCAGAAAAGGAAGCAACCCCTTCAGAGACGAGCAAGCAGAAAGAAGAGGGTCCTGCTACACCTGCCCCCTCCACAAGCACATTTCTCACATCTGAAGGAGCAGAGGTGACTCCTGGACCTCAGGTAAGATTGAGGAAGAGGAACAGGTTTCAAGTTCCGCAGAGGAAACTCTGCTAACCTCTTCCACTGAAGCTCTATATTGGAAAGTTTTGTCATCGGGAGTTTCCCACCAAGTTTAAAATTCAGCAAGTTGTCCAGTAATTTATCTAATTCTTTGTACAAGGTAACCAGCTAAAAACTTTAGTAAATGTAATGTAAATATATACAAACTAAATATATCCTTGTCCCCAGTATAGAGGTGTAGTAATTTGAGAATCAGATAGGAAAATGATTTGCCCATGTTTATAAAAACCCCAGTTTTCCTATTTCCCAGTCAACACTTCCACCAACAGAGGTAATTAGAGAAATGAAATTGATTTGCATGTCCTTCTCTGCTTCCTTTGTTCAAAGAAACCATTTATGTCCACCTCTTACAACTGGCCAGGCATGGACAGAACCCACTCAAGTTTCCACGAAACACTTTGATAGGTATAATCAGCCAACTTCCCAGAATGAAAGGGTGCTCTACTTTATTTGACACTAAAAGGGAATAACAAGAAAATCAAACTATTTTCAGAAAATAGAAAGCACAGCCAAAGGAACGGATGGGAACGAAAGCGATGTTTTGGAGGAAGAGACTCAATCTCCGTGGCCTGCAGGAGCCAGCCCGGCCATAGCCATGGGCCATCCCCCACCTCCCCCGACCTCCCCAGCTCCATCCGACACTTCCTTAACTGAGGTATGCGCTTCTAGGGCTCCTTTGCTTCAATTTCTCCTACTGAAAATACAAAAGTCTTACCTCATTTTTTTAACTTTAAAATAGCATCAATAACAAGCAAGTCAATCAAAGGTATATATTAAGAATTCACAACATTTTAAGCTTTTGCTTCTACAGGGATATTGATGGACCTGACATTATCTCTGAGTGCAGAATGTTTTCTGTTCTGAGTTGTCTGGGGGAGGAGCAGAGTGGTGTAGGGTCCATGAGAGTACAGGGGGATACAGCAGTTGGGTCACTGTCCACTGCTCCTGTGTCTTTCACACCTCTTCCCTTTGCTCACTAATCTGTTCAAATTTCTTTGGCCAACACCATGCTCCTTTCTGCTCCAGGATTTTCACAAACCATGTTACTTTCACCTGGACAACTCTTACCCAGACAACCCTACTCTGCCTTTAGATCCCAGCATTGATATCTTGTCCTCGGGAAATGCTCACTTAGACCACAGTGACATAGGTGAATCCTTCATGGTGCTCTCTGTGGCAGAAACATCTTTCTTTCTTTTCTGCTATTTATGACAACGGATATTAAAAAGTGTTCGTTTACTTTTCCCACCTTACTCTGAGTTCCAAGATTAGAGCTACTTTGTCAGTCTGTGGACCAGTGTATCCCAGAGCCTAGATCAGTGTCTCATCATTGACTCAATGAAAAAGTGAAAACTAAATCCAAAGATATGAATCAGGACAGCTAATGAAAGAAAAAGAAAGGATCGTATGACCCAAAGAGACATAGTGTATATCGTGAGGCCCAAAGATTGTAGAAACAAAAAGAAGTGATGGAATTTGGAGGGGAGCTTAGGAGCTTGGGGAAATGTAGGCAGAAAGAGCACCATATACCAAGATACAGAAATGAAAGGAAGTGAACTACAATTTTTAATTATATATTTCTGATAATACTTATGAAGTTGTCCTCGTACCGAATTCAGACAGGCCAGCCTTTGCTGTATGCGTGCATCAGGGACAGTCTAATAACTAATTGAAACTTCAATGAGCTTTATTCCAAAAATGAGTGATTTATATTTCTACGATACACAATGAAACTGATACAGACCATGACAGGCCACAAGTGATGAACCCACAGCATCAGCCACAAATGAAACATGCTCTATGTTTTTTCTGATAATAGATTTTTATCTTAACACAAGATTATCTCAGGAACAAAGTCAAAATGCCAGCAGCCAGACACTCAAACATAAAATATTTAAATTTAAATTACCAGAAATTACACCATCCATATTATGCTACATTTTTTCTATATCCTCTTAGATTTTCTCCTGTGGAATTACATACACAATTATGATATCACATACAATATATTGTCTCATTATTTCTCTCTGAGAAGTTTTACAATTCCCCTCATGTATGCCCTGTATTTGAATCACTCCTTATAAGGTTGCATATTAGTGTAGCTATTAATAGTCTCAGGTATGAGTCTGCTATTGCTCATTAACTTGCATTGGGGAAAGGACTTCCCTGTGTCAGGCTGAACTGGTCACGTTCATGAGAAGTCACATCCAATCAAGTCCAGTCATCCACAGGTGATCACTGTGTGTGGTATCCCAGGCCAGAGCACCCCCCAACCTGCTGGAGTGTGGATGAACCCCACCTGTGCCTCCCACAATTCTTCTCATTGACTAACCCACCTCCCTTCATTTAAAGTGTTCTGCTGCAAATTTAGGAGACCAGGATGTTTTTTTTTTTTTTTTTTTTTTTTTTTGAGACAGAGTTTCACTTTGTTGCCTAGGCTAGAGTGAGTGCCGTGGCATCAGCCTAGCTCACAGCAACCTCAGACTCCTGGGCTCAAGCGATCCTTCTGTCTCAGCCTCCCAAGTAGCTGGGACTACAGGCATGCGCCACCATGCCCGGCTAATTTTTTCTATATATATTAGTTGGCCAATTAGTTTCTTTCTATTTATAGTAGAGACGGGGTCTCGCTCTTGCTCAGGCTGGTTTTGAACTCCCGACCTCGAGCAATCCGCCCGCCTGGGCCTCCCAGAGAGCTAGGATTACAGGCGTGAGCCACCGCGCCCGGCCCTGAGACCAGGATGTTATACAGAGAAGATATTAAAGGCAAAACCTGCCTGATCCCAGGTTTCTGACAGTGAGCTCCTCCTAGAGCCCAATGTTGAGAAACGCTACAGTGGCGGAAATGGCAACTCAGAGTGTCACAACCCTGAACCTACTGACGTTAGGGTATTAGGAAGGCTTCAGACCACGCATGTTCCCACCTGCTGTGACAGTACTGAATGCCAGATAGAGGAACTATGACTCACACTCTCAAAATTGCCCAGTCTATACTGGTGATAACTGAACACTCTTCATATCTTGGTATATGCACTGGGCACCATTTCCCATTTTCAGTGCTATTTAATAATATTTGTCTGTAGTTATGCTCTCATGCTCTAAGCTGGTAAGAGTAAGACTAAAATTTATTAATTTGCTCTTAAATTTATTTGAAAGTACTTCATAGCAATGCTCTCAGAATCCACTGCTCTTGTGTTGTTCTTATGCTTTACTTCCTAAGGATTATTCTTTCACCAAGTGTTCTCCTGCTTTTCACACGTGCAGTCTCCCCCTGTGACATCCTCTGGTGATGACACCAGTTCGGGACATGCTCTGCTGCCTTGTTCAGCGACCCTCCATCCTGGCTGCAGCTCTAAACATCTGTAATGTTGTCGGGCTCCAGGTTATGACTGAGGTCACTGAGTAGTGGTTCTGTATTCCCCACTCAGACATTTCCCTTTGTTCTCCTGTGCTATTGTACACAGAACCCAAACCCAGAGGGCAACTCTTGGGTAACCGGCAGAGGAAAGAAACTCCGAGAAGACCCGATAGTAGTGATGGTGCTGCAGGCAGGAAAGCCATTTGATTATGAGTCCTCAGAAGGGAAGAAAAAAACAATGTTTCATGCTACAGTGGCTACTGAGAAAGCGTTCTTCCGTGTGAAGGTTTTAAAGAACAACTTGAAGAGCATATTCATCAGTGAAAGAATCATTACTATATCAAATTATTTAGAATATAAATATTTCCTAGAAGTAAATGAAGCCTCCGTGGTAACCGAAGCTGGTAGTGATGTAAAGATTGAGGTTCCAGACAACATCAAAAGAAGTGCAAAGGAAACCATGAAGATCGATACTATTAAAAATCAAGCTTCTGGTACTATTATATATGGGTCATTTACGCTACTTAAGGTAAGTCCTCAAAATTCTTTTGTTTCATTTCTCCACAAATACCTGAAATAAGAAGGTTTTGTGGTGCCAAATGCAGTTTTGCCCATTTATTGAACATTAGAACCCAGGACTCACTCAAGGCTAATAATAAGTGAGTAAAGTCTTTTCTCAGGATAAGACTGGGAACTAGGGAACCTATTAATATTCTTTTTCCCATGTTTTCCTTTCCTGAATACTACCCTGAACTTTTTAGGAAAATGTTCACTGATAAGACTTGAGATTTCATCAGCTATGACTATGTGTTCTTCTAAGCCACAGTGATTAAGGACAGTGTAGGGTCTAGATCCATATACATATTCTACCACATTTCTTTTTTATTATTACTTCAACTGTAGCAATAATCACTCTATTTTTATTTTGGATGAAGTATTGCCCTTTGTGGTTTGAGTTCTGCTTTTTAGCAGTCAGAGCAAGATATCAATTGACTGATCATGCCTGGAGAACAAAGGCAGCCAACAGGATAATGTTCTAACCAAACGAAACTCATTTCATCAAAAAAGTATTGAACAACTGAGAAGGATGAATTTAGGTAATACTTAGAAAGTCAGGTAATATTAACTCACCATTTATATATGCAGGTGAAAAGAAAGAGCACGGAGTGCTTTTGCTGATATTCCAGGGTCCAAATACATGACACTGTTTGTCATAGGACGTGCAAAGCCAAGGAAACATCTTCACCCGTCTATTGATTCATGTGATTTCTCATATGATCAACAGCCACAAACACCATGTATTTGTTTTTCTAGCAAAACCTCTTATTTTCCCTGCATTATTCTTTGCACACACTCTTAATGTGGACATTGTTATCAGCACAGTTCTAGAAATGAAGAGTAATAGCCTTGGTGAGCAAGAAAGTTTAAGCTCAAGGACCTGAACTCAGGAGAGAGAGAAAGACTCAGTAAACGGAGAAGGTAGAAAAAGTAACTAGGGAGTTACCAGAGGCTTGCTTTTTATTACAGATCCCTCATACTCACCAAAAAGCATTTAGGATTTAGGATTCCTCTGGATAAAGGTGCTTTGGGAATTATAGCTGTCCTAGAGATGAAAGCAGTAGAAATTAGGAGGATAATCGATTGTTCTAGAGCTGTCAGAGAAATACCTAGGACATGTAAGACTGTAAAGGGCTCATAAGAAAGAGCTCCCTGAGAAATCCTTCCCTAAGGCTTATGCATGTCTGTACCTTACTAGCACTTGCTGTCCTGCAACTTGTTTTAACCTGTCACAAGGGTCTGATTATTCCGTGTGGTAGTTTTTAGCTGTGTTCTAAGGAACTAGATGTTAATTTTATGTTGCAGAAAACATTAAAGAAAAGCTACACAATCTATGAAATTAAGGACAACACAGGAACCATGGAAGTAAAGGGGATAAAACACTGTCATGATATTCCCTGTAAAAACGGAGATACACTTCAGCTCTTCTGCTTTAAACTGAGGAGAGAGAGGGAGACACCATATCTGCTTCATGAAATGCATAGTTTCATTGAGGTGAGAATTAATTTTCCAAAGAGGAAACAATTTGGTTTAAGTTTTTTGTTTTTTGTTTTTTGTTTTTTTTTTGTTTGTTTGTTTTTTTTTTAAAGTTTTAATTATTTTTTTTATTTTGGCATATTATGGGGGTACAGATTTTAAGGTTTCAATAAATGCCCATTTCCCCCCTCCCCCCAAAAGTCTGAGTCTCCATCATGACCATCCCCCAGATGGTGCACATCTCACTCACTATGTATGTATATACCCGCCCCCCTCCCCCCTCACCTGCCCAATACCTTTTACTGTAGCACTATGTGTCCACTTAGGTGCTACTCAGTTAATTACCAGTTTGCTGGAGAATATTATCTGGTGCTTGTTTTCATCTTGGGATACTTCATTAGTAGTATGGGGTTTCCAGCTCCGACAGTGTAAATATAAGATGTGCTATACACCATTTGTTTCTTAGAGCTGAATAGTACTTCCATGGTTGTCATATACCCTTTTTAATCCTTCTTGGGATTGTATGGGGCACTTGGCTGGTTTCCACAGCCTCGCCAATATGGGATTGTGCTGCTATTAAACATTCGAGTGCAGGTGTCTTTTTTGTAGGAGTGTCACTGATCATTTGGGTAGATGGGCCATGCAATTTTTTGGGGATTGGCTTGGATCAAATGGTAGATTCACTGGTATGCTTTAAGGTATCTCATACTTTGCTTTCCACAGAGGTTGATAGTTGTAGTACACAGCAGTGTAGGAGTGTTCCTCTCTCTCCGGCAGACCACGCCAGCATTATTGTTTAGGAGATTTTTGTTGAAGGGCATTCTCACTGGGGTTAAGTGATATCTCATTGTGGTTTTGATTTGCATTTCCTGATGTATTTAGAGATGTTGAGCATTTCTCGATATGTTTGTTGGCCATTCTTCATGTCTTCTTTAGAAAAAACTTTCTGTTCAAGTCTTTGCCACTTTTTAATGGGGTTACTTTGATTTTTTCTTCCTAATTTCGTGAGTTCTAAGTATTATTCTAGTTACTCAGTCCTTATCGGTACTGCTACAGGAATGCAAAAATCCTGTTCTCCCATTTCTGTAGGCTTGTTCTGTCTTACTCTTCATGACATTTCCTTTGGCTGTGCAGAAAGCTTTGTGTTTGATCAAGCTGTAGTAATTAAAACATTATGGTTTGGCACAAACAAAACCAGGAATTTATTGACCAGTGGGCACAGTGTG